TTTGTTCATTTTGTTGCTTAAAAAGAATGAAATAAATGGGATAAATAAAAATAAAATAACGTTTTAGAGAAGCAATTGGGAAGCGTGTCTCCTCTCAGTGTCCTGATATTTCAGGCCTGGTCTCCACGCTGATCGTAGTATTTCTGTAAAGTCGGTGCTGGAGTAAAGGCTGGTCTGCTGTCTGCAGGTATCTCTGTAAGCTGTCCGACCAGGAGCTGCGCCAGAGTGCAGCACGCAACATGGCCGACCTGATGTGGAGCACGGTGAAGGAGCCGCTGGACAGCGCGCTGTGCTTCGACAAGGAGAGCCTGGACCTGGCCTTCAAGTACTTCATGTCCCCCACCCTCACCATGCGTCTGGCTGGACTCAGCCAGATCACGGTGAGTCGTCCGGAGTTCCTCCTCACGCTGACAGGAACTGGCTCTGGTGAAGGGCTTCCAGCTTTATGAACACAGGACTGAGAGGATGCTGAAGAAGGGAAAGCTGATTGCTTCAGCAGCAGGATCATGACAGGTCCATGACAGGTTTGGACTGACGTTACAGGACATTAATCCTCGTTACGTTTGTCTCCTCAGAATCAGCTCCACACGTTCAATGATGTATGCAACAACGAGTCCCTGGTGTCGGATACAGAAACGTAAGTTACGAGTGCAGGTGGTCCAGACTGAAAAACCACTTGGATACGGTCCAAAAGCCTAACCCAACAGGTTGTGCAGGATGTTATTTTAACTCGTATTCTTAAGCCTGATTTATGCTTCTCCGTCTGCGTCAGTGCGGAGACACGCAGCGCCATTATCCGTCCTTGCGTAGGGCTCCGGCAGGCACGCAAGTACGTACGGAGTCGAGCCCACTTCTTTAAACATCCGTCGAACGAGACGGATTACGCAAGCTTGTGATTGGTCAGGACGCCGCTGTTGTTTACAGCGCCGCCATTGCAAAGAGAGCCGAGGATAACTAGCGACAGACACGGAGAGGCTTGAAGAATATCTCGCGAAAAAACTAAAAATATGAACGCTTCATCCTCCCGTGACTGGAGGGGTGAAAAGATGTGCAGCAAGCGTTTTATTTGTGGACGGAAATGACAGGAAACGTGGGTTTAGAGCATCGACATAAATATACTGGTTTCGAGGTGGGGAGCGCCTCCCCAAATATGAGACAAATATGTCCGTGTTAAAAGTCTTATATACAAAAATCACAATATAAACACACTATCTTGGACCGATACATGACAGGATACCACAGAACAGCGCTACGCTCTCTGCTGTCCTGCTGAGGAATTGCTTTGCAACACTCTCCAGGAGACGGAGAAGTATGAGAGCAAAACGCTTCCGTCAATCCGTGCGTGTCTGTCCCTCGCGGAGCTGACGGAGAAGCATGAACCAGGCTTTAGTTCAAACCTTCGCAGTGAAAGGCATCGGGCTTGGATGGATTTGCGTTCCTTTGTGTTTTATGTCTCCAAGCATCTCATTAAAGGTGTGTTTCAACCTTTCAGGTCCATAGCAAAGGAACTCGGGGACTGGCTAATCCACAACAATGTAGTCGAGCACATATTTGGACCAAATTTGCACATTGAGGTGAGAACCGTGGTCGAATGTCATTGCATTTTAAAAAGCTTAGTCTTTGTTCCCATGACAGCCTTTCATGGCGTTCTGGTTAAACAGCAGAAGTTCTGTTTGTGACTGTTTGCTTTATAGATCATTAAACAGTGCCAAGTGATCCTGAACTTCTTGGCTGCAGAGGGCCGACTCAGCACGCCGCACATCGACTGTATCTGGGCTGCAGCTCAGGTACGACCAGACTCGAGTTCACGTCTGGATAGGTCCTAAAGCTCTTCCTGGGAATATTTTTTTATTCCTGCTGAAATTCTGATCATACCGCCCCCTGCCACTATTGCATTTGCCTCTTTGTACGTGGATGGGCCAACAAAATAAAGTTTTATGACGGGCACAGAAATTCAACCCAAACCTGAAATGACCCGAGGGACTCGAACCCCAAACCAGGCCTGCCCAGCAGCATACCGTCCACCACTCGGTGCAGGGCTTTAATCAGAACCGCCTCCTGCTGCTGCGGGCTTGGTTCAGTCACACATTTTAGAACGGTTTCAATAATCAATAAATGTAGATGGTAGCCAATCTTGACCCCATAACGTGTTTTTGTTTGTAGTTGAAACACTGCAGCCGCTACATCCACGACCTGTTCCCATCCCTGATTAAAAACCTGGACCCGGTGCCTCTCCGTCACGTCCTGAACCTGGTGTCCGGTCTGCATCCAAGTGCACACACAGAGCAGGTACTGAGACGTCGAAGTTCACCCTACTGTTGTCTTGTTCCCTGTGGGGTTAAACAGCCGCATGTCCCTGTCCTCCTCAGACGTTATACCTGGCCTCCATGCTGATCAAGGCGCTGTGGAACAACGCCCTGGCAGCTAAGGCCCAGCTCTCCAAACAGAGCTCGTTCGCTTCTCTGCTGAACACAAACGTCCCCATGGGGAATAAAAAAGGTCAGCGCCATGAGCCTGTGTGTGTTTCGGGTTGGAGACTGAACGTCTAATGGGATTAAAGGGGGTGTGTCAAATCAGCCGTTAGGGGGATCATCAGAAACATCTTCAGTAAGCTTCCTTTAATGTTCAGCACTGCAGAAATGATCAGAGAGTCACAATTTCTTAATGCAAACGCTGGTGCCACTTTTCCGTATTATTACGACCACTCAGTCACAGCAGCCCCATCAAACCGGAGACGAAAAATAAAGCAGCTGCAGATGTAAAGAAACGGTAAATACTCACACAACAGTCAGACGCCTCAGTCATGTTGGACAGATTTAGTTCTCAGCCAGCTGTGGGTTGTCGGCTCTTCTCCTTTAAAGGAAATATTAATATTATAGAATTATTACCTTAATAAGTGTAGTAAATGCTTCCCACCGTAAAACACCCAAGAGTGGTAACACCAGATATGACGACGCATCTACTCATGAACTTGCTGATCTGTAACTGGCTACAGCCATGAAAGCTGAACCGGAGTGGGAGAGTCGAACGCTTTGGTTTAAAAATGGGCTGCAGTAACCATATTTGGCCACAGGGTGGCACTCTTACACATGGCACCTGAAATCACCTGGCTGTTGGGTTTATAGTGTAAAAGTTTGATAGTTTTGTGTTTTTGTGGTTCTGAGTCCACCGTCCTCTGCGGGTTTCAGGCTCACCAGCTGCCAGCCCAGACAGCAGCGACAACAGCGACACACAGCAGAGCGGCGGCAGCGACATGGAGATGGAGGACCAGATGATGGTCACCAGCAGCAAGAGGAGCCAGCAGAGGCTGTCAGACACAGAGGTGCTCGTCATCATGATCATGGTTAAAAATTCGTCCGGGTCTGTAAATCACCTAGTCACGTCAACAAGGACTCGTCCTCGTTGCTGTAGAAGAAAACAGAGTTTTCTGTCACTTAGACCCTGGTGCTGTGGTCAGGTGTGTGTCTGCCCACAGGGATGGTCGTCAACACCAGACGTCTGTCTGCACACCGGGTTTCCCCCGGTGCTTTACAAGCCTGATGGACCGCCAGACTTTGCTAGACTCCCCAGCAGGCAACAAACCTTTAAAACGTTTCAATGAAAAGGGGTCTTTCACCTGCAAGTCTGACCGTGACTGCATCTGGAGATACGAGTGGGAGCGCAGTGGCGCCCTGCTCCTGACCTCTCAGTCAGCCGTAGGAGCGGGTGCGTCTCAGACGCAGCCGCGATGGTGAACACCCAACCAGCAGACTGATCCGTGCTTCCTTCAACTAGAATCTTCTCTTCCTTTCAACATGAAGGCGGCGGTGGCACAGGAGTTAAGCGCTCGCCCCGTAATCGGAAGGTTGCAGGTTCGAGTCCCGCTCAGTCTGTCGCTGTCGTTGTGTCCTTGGGCAAGACACTTAACCCACGTTGCCTGCTGGTGGTGGTCGGCGGGACCGGTGGCGCCAGTGCTCGGCAGCCTCGCCTCTGTCAGTGCGCCCCAGGGCAGCTGTGGCTACATCGTAGCTCATCCCCACCAGTGTGTGAATGTGTGTGTGAATGGGTGAATGACTGATTGTGTTGTAAAGCGCCTTGGGGGGTTCCAGGACTCTAGAAGGCGCTATATCAATTACAGACCATGAAAATTACGGCTTAACCAGAAGTAATACTTTCAAAATAAAAGTCTGTACTTCAAACTAATACTAACTTAAAGGGATACTAAGCAGTTTTGCTTGCTTTTAGCACCCCTAGTTTATGTTGGTTTATTTATTTAGCAGACGCTTTTATCCAAAGCGTCGTACAATCATTAACCTGTAGGGCATGTTGTGATCTGTGGGGGAACCCGGAGTACCCGGTGGAAAGCCACGCATGCATGGGGAGAACACGCAGCTAGGCCACAGCCGAGTTTCGAACCTGCAACCTTCGTGCTGCGAGGCAACAGGGCTAGCCATTGTGCCCCTAGTGTCCGTTATTAATTTACTTGGTTATACCGAAAGTGAAACTCTTCTCTTAGCTGTGCGTTGGTGTTTTTAACACCTTAACCTAACTGCTGAAATGTCTCCTCAGTCGACCTTTACTGGTGTCTACAGGAGCAGTTGATCAATAAATCGTACACATCAGCTGTGTTCACCCTCGCTAACATGTGGAACCAGACTCCAGCTCCGGACTGGCAACTGTGAAGTTGCAAGTGCGGTATTCTGGCCACAGAGGACGGTGGGGTCTGAGTGATTTTCATTAATCCTGGAAAGGGTCATTTTAGCCAATTCTGTCTCAAGATGATGTAAAGATATGTAAAAGTTTGGCTTTGAACCGATATCAGCCTCACTTACTCAGCATGACAAAAATCAGACATAAAACAGATTGTCACAAAATATAACTTGAACAATCCTTATTTATGGCTCTAATATTATCCTATTATGGCCACTAATTCATAAGGGTTCAGCATGCTTGCTGTCGGGTTCTACCGATGCTACGATTGGTGGGTTCAGCGCCTTTACTGGCTGCTACATCAAATGACCCAGCATGCAAATGACGTGGCTGTGATGACTTCTCTGAGCTTCAGGTAAATTAGTGAGTGTTCTTTGTGGTGTGGACAGTTTGAACTAGGGTTGTCACGGTATGAAAATGTCACCTCACGGTTATTGTGACCAAAATTATCACGGTTTTCGGTATTATCGCGGTATTTTTTAAACGGTGTTGCATATGTTCAGAAAGCATTGATAGTCCTGTTCTACACAAACTGAAATAGTTTAACAGTGTTTATTAAACCTAAAATAACACAAAGCCTTAGCAAAAGTGCAACTTTTCACAAGTAAAGGAACAAATATCTTCTTTTTCTGGAACATGTTACAGTAGTCAGTGCAGGTTTAAATTCTACAAATCCAAACATTCAAAACATAAACAATATGTAAACAAATCAAAGAAACACCACTTGTTTTCTCATATACTTGTTTTCTTCATTATCAAAATGAAAATCTAAAACTCCAGTCCACACTTGACTTGAGCGCTGTACAAGTCAACCTTAAAAAATATGTATTTAAAATAAATATCCACTTTAAACAAATTACTAAAATAACTACTACACTATGTAATCAAATCCAAATGTTCAAGTATAAATGGCATTGAATAAGTAAACAAATCCATGACAAGGAACTAATTGTATATTTCTCTTCATCATCAACAAATAAGATGCTTCATCCAGCAACAGGGTGTCCGTGACACGGTTTAAATGCTGGCAGAGGACGCTGCGGCTGCAGTCTATAGTGACTCGTTGCATTCTCCCTCAGCCAAAAGTCCTCGCGTCATGCATTTAAGCTAAAATGCTAATGCTAACTTACCTTGCACTGGCTGTAGAGACGTGGGTGATGGTCACGCAGATGTGCCATTAGATTCGAAGTGTTGCTGTCTTTTGCAGACACTTGTTTCCTGCACGTTCTGCAAACGGGATAGCCGTCTTCTATTAACTGTCCCTCAGCGTTTTTCAGAAATCCAAAATAAGCCCATACTTCCGATTTAATCTTCTTTGAGGGCTGATGGATGTCCTGGGCGCTGCCGTCTCCTCCTTCGGCCATTATTACAGCTTCAAAGTTTTGGTGCCGTTGCAAACTAAAAAGTGCGTGTGCGCGCCGCGGGAACTTCAGCTGAAGCGACGGTGGCTGGTAAGGGTCACCGCGCTGAAACCGCGGCCACGGTAAACCCACCGAGATAATTTAGTTTTTTAAAAACTGGACGGTTATTTTTATTGTCAACTTTTTTACCGGGGTTTACCGCTATACCGGTTACCATGACAACCCTAGTTTGAACTGTTATATCTTTTAGGAGATTGACAAGTATTGCCAATCTACAAAAATAAGTATAATAAATGGCTTGTAACACCACAGACTCATCATAATTTAAAACTTCCTGACAACTTTTCTTTTTTGCAAAGACCTGGCGGACCGCCCGTGGGCCTCACTACCGCCAGGCCCAGCGGGTTTTATGGGGCTCCCTGCTGCAGCAGTCAGGCTGATTTTACAAACATGAAAACTGGAAAAGGATAAGTGGGCGGAGCAATATGTCTATAGCATCCCCAGTGAAAGGGTCGTAAAGCACCACAGCAGCTGCAGCTCATACCTTATAATGGTGTTTGTTAATCCTCTGGACTGTCTCTGGTTGTTGGTGATCTGTTACCTCAGGAGTCGCTGCAGGGCAGCTCCGATGAGACGGCCAACAGCGTGGAGGAGGGCAGCAGCGGGCCGGGCAGCAGCAGCGGTCGCAGCGAGGCCTCCAGCAATGAAGCCGCCTCCAGCAGAGCCAGCCAATCAGCTGGCAGCCCAGCTAGCGAGATACACTCTGATGACATGGCGGATAGCGAAGCCCTAAAGGAGGAGGACGACGAAGAAGAGGAAGAAGATGAGGAGGATGAGGATGACGATGAGGAAGAGGAAGAAGGGAACGGGTCTGCTGTTGAAGATGGGCAGCAGAAGGCGGCTCGAGAGCAGACCGAGTCGAGGAAGAGGAAGGCAGGGGAGGCTTTGGGGGAGGGGCCCAGTCACAGGGTGGGACCCATTGGCTCAGGAGGAGGAACCAAACCCAAAGTTCTGTCCTTCAGCCCAGAGACTTCTGCTGTCATGGCCACTGCAGCATCTTCATCTTTAGAGGGCCGCATGAGGATGCTGGACGCTTGCTCTTCGTCATCTTCTGCTCGGCCAGAGCGGATGGAGCCCCAGCAGCAAGCGGAGAACATCAGCCCGTCTCAGATGGTCCAAGGTCCCCAGGAACCTGCCAGTCTCCCCAGGCCTGGGGACTTCCTGGGTGAAGCCATGAGCAGTGAGCTCTTTAACTGCCGCAGGTTTATGGGGCCCCAGCACCACCATCACCACCACCATCACCACCACCATCACCACCACCATGAAGGGTGAGACTATAAAGTACAAGCTGAGTCTCTGTAGATAAACCTTTCCAATCATGTGCTCTCTAACCCCTTTCAGTCCCATGCTGGAGGACATGCTGAGTGCCGATGATGTCAGCTGCAGCAGCTCCCAGGTCAGCGCCAAGTCAGAGAAGAATATGGCTGACTTTGATGGAGAGGAGTCAGGCTGCGAGGAAGAGCTAGTCCAGATCAACTCCCACGCTGAGCTTAGCTCCCACCTCCAGCAGCACCTGCCCAACTTGGCCTCCATCTATCATGAGCACCTGGTGCAAGGTGAGGTCACCCTGCAGCAGGAACCGTGGCTCAGCCTAGCAGAGCTAGGGAGGCTGACCAGGCTCTGCTGTGTGTTGTCAGGTCCGGCTGCTCATAAACATCAGTACTCCAGCCACGCGGTGATGGACATCAACTTGGATAACGTCTGTAAGAAAGGGAACACCCTTCTGTGGGACCTGGTGCAGGACGAAGACGCGGTACGACTTCCTCTAAGTTCCGATGCCTTTACTTCTTTATGGATCACATTTTTACTGCCCCAACCTGAGGGTCGTCATAATGCCACATCTGGGAGAAATGCTACCAATAGTCCAGCTGTGGTCGTTAGATAAATGAAACGTTGCCTCTTAAAGGTACAATAAGTAAGAATTTTACAGTGAAATATTGATCATCGGTCATGTAGAAGGAAGGTTACATTTAAACAGATTTACCTTTCATTCGGCTGGGGAGTTGTCAGTTTTTCTCTTTATAAAGAAGCTAAAGTGGGAGCTCTTGAGGTTGCTGAAGCTGTGCCGGCAAAGGCTGCAGCACCAGCTTATGTAATTTGACACCGGCAGGCAAAAATGTCCTGAGTTGGTTAAGGAGCCAAACCAGTAAACAGGAGCGCCCCAGAAGTTATTTCTGTTACCCCTGAGAGCCCCCATGGAATCTTTTTGTTTTACTCTGGTGTCATTTGAGGCTGCTAGGCTAACGGTCAATTAGAAGCAAATATTCTGCTCTAAAATTATCTCAAGCCACTTTTGCAATAACCAACAAGTCAACATTACAGTGAAAGGCATTTATCTACTTGTCAACTTCCTGTGTATGACTCGCCATTTAGAATCTTCTAGTGCTGACCTGTAACTGGCACCGGTACCAGAATTTGACCACCGGATGTCATTCTTACATCATGCACCTTAGTTCACTCGAAAGGGACAACAAGTATTCATGAACATGAATGTAAATATGTCGGAATTAGACCTAAGGCTACTTTTCATCGGTAGTTCCTGGTAGGTTAATAACACAAAATATGCTATGACAATTCCCGTAAAACCAAACTGTCAGTGACCGTTCACAAGACCATTATAAATACATAAGAAGTGTCATTAAACACAATACTGCCACATTACACAGACTTATCTAACTAACTAAAACTTTATTTATATAGCGCCTTTACATGGCCCAAGGACCAAACAAGGCGCTGCACAGCAGAAATAAGCATTAAAAAATAAATTAATTCAATAAAAACATATAGAACCATTTAAAACCAGCAAAAACATGCAGATAAAATCCAGATGGGGCAGCAAAAAGTGCCAAGCCAACAGTTAACGGGACTCTTCCTGAATAAAAGCTAAAGAATAAAAGTGAGTTTTCAGCCGGCTCTTAAACGTGCCGAGCGTGCTGGCCTGTTTAACACATGTAGGTAGCTCATTCCAGAGCCTCGGCCCCGGCACCGAGAAAGCACGACCCCCTCGAGATTTCAGTCTGTGTTTAGGAACGACCAACAGTCCCTGTTGAGCTGACCGAAGGTTCCTTGCAGGAACATAAGGCTGAATCAGGTCTGCCAGATAACGTGGAGCCAACTCATTTAAACACTTAAAAACAAACACCAGAACTTTAAACGAAATTCTAAAAGAGACTGGAAGCCAGTGTAGGGATGCCAAGACGGGCGTGATGTGTTCAGATCTCCTGGTCCTGGACTTATACATAGCAGCCCAGCTTTGTAATCACAGGTTTGAGTCCCCATGAGCCCTCCATTCATCCACCCGTTTGTGGCTGCTTATCCGGGGTTGGGTAGCATGCGCAGTAGCCTAAGCAGGGTGGCCCAGACTTCCCTCTCCCCAGCCATTCGGGGAATCCCAAGGCGTTCCCTGGCCAGCAGAGAGACAGTCCCTCCAACGTGTCCTGGATCTTCCTTTAGGCCTTCTCCCATTTGGACATTCCCGAAAAACCTCACCAGGAGGCCAGATGACCAGACGCCCGAGCCACCTCAACTGGCTCCTCTCCATGTGGAGGAGCAGCTGGTCTACTCCGAGCCCCTCCCGAATGACCGAGCTTCTCACCCTATCTCTAAGGGAGAGGCCAGACACCCTGCGGATAAAATTTCCTCCGCTTGTATTCACGATCTCGTTCTTTCGGTCACTACCCAAAGCTCGTGACCAGAGGTGAGGGTAGGAACGTAGATCGACCGGTAAATCGAGAGCTTTGCTTTCCGGCCCAGCTCTCTCTTCACCACGACAGACCGGTACATCACCCGCATCACTGCAGACGCAGCACCAATCCGCCTATCGACCTCACGCTCCAGCTTTCCCTCCCCATGAGCCATCGTGTTAAATTGATTTTAACGTAAGCGTTGGATCGGGTAGCAGCAAACGATTATTTGGATCAGTGATGAATCGGATGGGGTCTTGACTTGATTAATCGGATTGAACGAGAACATTTTTCAATTGCTTGGGAATTATTTTTCTCTCCTTCCTTTACTTTAACAACAGAACTTAGTTAGAAAACTGCTCATTAACGTGTAAAACATGCCGTCACCTACATATATCCATAGTTAAACAATGATCAGTAAATTTTTATGTATTTCATTAGCATGCTCAGTGGTAGCAACTGGAAATGCTAACAACATTTTTTTCTGCTGCTAAAATATAATGGTGACATATCTATTAAGTACGGGTTAGCAATAATCCAGTTTCAATTATGTTCACAGATAGACACGTTAGTGAATTACATGCTACAGTGGCTTGCCGTATTCCTTCAGCCGTGTTGAGCAGAGTCGACTCGAAGCAGCAGCGGTTCAATTCAAGTTTATTTATAAAGCGCCAAATCACGACAAGAGTCGTCTCAAGGCACTTCACATAATAAGCATTCCAATTCAGGTCAGTTCATTAAGCCAATCAGAAATAATGTTTCCTATATAAGGAACCCAGCAAATTGCATCAAGTCACTGACTAGTGTCAGTGACTATACAGCAATCCTCATACTAAGCAAGCATGCAGCAACAGTGGAGAGGAAAACTCCCTTTTAACAGGTAGAAACCTCCAGAGAATCCTGGCTCAGTATAAGCAGCCATCCTCCACGACTCACTGGGGATGGAGAAGACAGAGCAGACACACACACACACACACACACACGCACACGCACAATAATGTGTCTATAGTTATATTGTGATGTCTTAGTAAATATTCTATTTGGTGAGTGATTTATTTATTGTATTTATCCTAGCGGATCTATAATTAAACAGATAAACTAGTAGTAGCACATCCAACGTCAAGGAAAGGAAAAAGTTATTATCAGGAGAGGGAGAATGTTTAAGTGGTTAGCAACAGTGTGCTAGTCGATGGCCCCCTCCATGAGGCCACCACAGCTCATCAGAACATCGTTGTAGCTTCTTCTGGGGAGAAAAACACTTAGAGAGAAAATAAAGTTAACAGCTGAAATAGCAGAAAGTAATACAGTTAAGCGCTGCAGTCAGCTAAATAAACAGGACGATGGGGACTATAGATGTTGTTTCTCAAGCTCAAGGCGCCTTGCTTACGAGGACACGGTCCTTCCTTGGTCAAAGAAAACGGTTAAATGGAACAGACTTGCATCACATGGCCGCGGCTTCCACGGTGGTCACGTAACGTCACCTGACACGGGAGATATATTTTATACGCATTCGTTTCAATATAAATATATAACGAGCCTTTTACTTTTTAAATCATGTATGTTTATTAAATTAAAAATATAAGTGAGTTACTACCTGCTAGCCACCGAAGCTGCAGCTACTAAGCAACTGACCGACCATAGATAACTTCTTTGGATCTAAAAGAAAAAACATTTTAAATTAGCTGACTTACTTTTAAAGTTGAAATTGTTCCCGAAGTAGCTGCCGGCTTCTGATCCGCCGTCCTTTCAAAATACCGCGATGTATTGTGGGTAATGTTTGACCAAGGCTAGGCTACAAGACACCTCCCGTGTATCCTTGCTCAGCTAGCTAAACGGCTAACAAACGGAGAACACATGCCTCGGTAGAACATGACCATTGGAACACGTCTTGGCGGCTCCCGATGACGTATCTCCTAGGCAACCGGGGCGGGGCCAAGACATCAAGGCCTTTAGTTTCACGACCATCAGGTTTTTTCTGAACCCCACTGGATCGTGAACCTGCTACCCGCTAGCATTAGCTAGCCTGCCTGTAGTTACACTTTTGATCCCAAACTTTGGACCGTTTCTGCTTCTGTGTCTGGGGGGTGTTGAGAGCAACGTGTGCCTCCAGTGTCTGTGAGGGCGCACGGTGTTGGAGGCTAATTTGTGTGCCTCTGTGTGAAACACACATAAGAAAAAAAGAACGACTGAAAGAGCCCCCCAGCCGCGGCTACTCGGCTCCCATCGCTCATGTTAAAGAGCCGTTCAAAAGACTCAGTTCGTTCATGAACGTCACAACGCTTAAGTCCAGGTATGAGGATTTGGTAACGCTACAGTTGGTTCTCTCCTCTAGGTGTGACTTCAACCATAAAAGTGCCTGTTCAGAAAAGTTTTATTCCGTTAGTCTAATTAGTAATATTTGGTGGTCTACTATCAAAGGCTCTTGTTAACTCTAGAAGAACGTTGAAGTAAGTACTGAACACACAGAACTTCAGGAATTCTGCAGAGTTATTAAAAAAGAAAAACTGAAATATCACGTGGTTCCAAGTATTCAGACCCTTTGTTTTGGAATCATGCTTCGGTTATTAAGGTGATCTCGGAGTAGTCCGTAAAGATGTGGTCCCCAGATAGTCCCCCCCCCACTGAAACTTGTCTGGGGAGAAAAAGTAAACCTGGATCTGCTGGTTTGTGTTCAGATTCATCTCTCCGAGGGCTTGATTAATGAAGCAGAGAAGCTGCTGTGCTCTCTCGTCTGCTGGTTTACTGACCGGCAGATCCGAATGCGCTTCATCGAGGGTTGCCTTGACAACTTGGCCCATCATCGGTAAGACTTGCATGGCTTATTCAGTCTAACGCTACACCTTTTCTCAGAGTAAAACTCGTCCGTGTGTCCCCTCAGGTCAGTTGTGGTTTCTTTGCGTCTTCTACCCAAACTTTTTGGCACTTTTCAGCAGTTTGGCTCCAGCTACGACACTCACTGGATCACTATGTAAGTATGAGCTCCACATGCCAAGTCCTTGCGAGAATCAACAGACATTCCCATCAGGAAACTTTGACCGCTTGTTTTTTTCTCCTAGCGGAATTACTGTTGGTCTTTTTAGAAATTAGATATTTTTTTATATCAAGCACAAAAGATGAGTGTTGCCTTTTAACTTTGATCAGTTTGGGTGTTTATCAGCTGTCCCAGGTAAAGAGAAGCCTGACCCTGTTCTGATGCAGTTCTTGTTTCTGTTAGGTGGGCTGAGAAGGAGCTGCACATGATGAAGCTGTTCTTTGACAACCTGCAACACTACATCCAAGAAGTCAGAGAAAACCAGCACAAGTTTGCTCTGTGGGTTTCGGTCTGAGCGCCGCCTGACGGTAAACGTTCCCTCCCACATTAAAACACCTCTCAAACCTCCTCTTGTGTCTGCTGTTGCAGATACAGCCACAGTGCAGAGGTCCAGGTCCGTCTGCAGTTCCTCACCTGTGTCTTCTCAACGCTGGGATCACCAGACCATTTCAGTAAGTCCTTTTGTAGATGCACGACTAGGGATGGGTACCTTTGACATTTGAATCGATTGGGTACTAATTCCCGGTACCTAGGAATCGATACCGGTACTTAACGGTACCAATTTTCGATACTTTTGAGTGTTTAATATTTTAATTCTCTTTTATAATTAAATATATATTTTTCTCAATATATAACAATATTTGATAAATATCACGATAAATAACATACAAGTTTGTATTTTAACATGGTCCTTGTAGTTTTATAAGCTGATAATTAAACTGAAGCAAACATCTTTACTGTGAACTAAATTTACTGTGTATCTTCATTCCTTTTGCCGTCTTTTTTCATTTGATTTTTCCTACTGGGAAGTTAGAATTTCCGAGGAGAAAGCGAACGCACCATTAGCTGATAACAACGATGGCAATGGAAGCTAACATATCAAGCTAACGTTCTTAAACAGTTTATTTAGCTGCTGGAGCAGATTTAAACGATGATGCCTCACACTTAGATCGTTGTCGCTGGTTTCATCTTCACCCAATCACCCGTCGCATTTAGTAAAGTGAAGCCAAACTTTAGAGCGCGTTCGTGTTCTTCTAGTCGGAAAATCGGAGTTCCGAGGAGAAAGCGAACGCACCATTAGCGAAACGGAAGCTAACATATCAAGCTAATTATATTTACCTACCAGAGCAGATTAAGATGAGGATGTCTCACTTAGATCGTTGTCGCTGGTTTCATCATCACCCAGTTACCCATCACATTTAGTGAAGTGGACCCAAGCTTTAGCGTGTTCTTTCTACCATGCTGCTCTGTTTACAACTCGCTCGCAGCGAGCGACGACATAACGCTCTTGCGCATGCGCAGCTGTCTTGGCAAGTTCTCGTTATGAAGGACGGGTACCGAAACGAGGCACCGTTTGAAATGACGTGAATCGGTGCTCGGTCGGTACTGTGGAATTCGGTCGGTGCCTTAAAAGGTACCGAATTCGGTACCCATCCCTATGCACGACTGGTTCTCTTTCCAACTGAAGAAGTTAATATTGTAATATTCATTTTTCTGTCTGCTAGATGATAACAGGCAGGTGTAATTATCACTTTTTGCTGTTTACTGGCCCAGCATGTGTTCAGAGGTCCAGATCTCTGTGTTTTTAACTTTGTGGATGATAAAGTAGACAGAAATGACAATTAATCAGGAATTTTCTCCCTGAAAGGGGTCCGAGCTGAACTTGTGTGTGTTCGTCCTTCAGGACTGAGTCTGGAGCAGGTGGACATCCTGTGGCACTGCCTGGTAGAGGACGCTGAATGCTACGATGACGCGCTGCACTGGTTCCTCAACCAGGTCCGCAGCAAGGACCAGCATGCTATGGGCATGGAGACATACAAGCACCTGTTCCTGGAGAAGGTATGGGTCTCACACTGGCCTGAAGTTTAGTTACAACAGCTAAGTCTAGTTAGACTAACTGCTTTGTGAGTACAACACACTTTAAAAGAGATGAACCACCTCCTTGTTTCTCTAGTGCCTTTAAATGAAACCATAGTGGATTACACTGGAACACAAATGGTTAACCGTAAAAAACAAGCTAATAAAATTGGTAAAACTGTGATTGTGTAACCAGTTCCAGACCTAAACGTTGGTGAGTTTGGTGGTCAGCCGTACAGAAACTGATGTGTTTGACTGGACTTGTGTCTGCAGATGCCCCAGCTTAAACCAGAAACCATCAGCATGACGGGCCTCAATCTCTTCCAGCACCTCTGCAACCTGGCCCGGCTCGCCACCAGCACCCTGGACACCACCTCCAGCTGCGAGGTGCATAGACATTAGACAGGGATGTTTATGAGCCCCCCCCCCCCTCCCGTGATGACACATTCTCACCTGTCTGTCTGCAGCTGTGCGGGATGGACCAGCTTTGGGGTATCGCTCTGAGAGCTCAGTCTGCAGATATCAGCCGCGCTGCCATTCAGTACATCAACTCCTACTACATCAACGGTCTGAGCACTAAAAGACAGAATCACACCTTCTCTATTGTTTGGGGGGAGGGGTCACTTAGCCTGGCAGGGAGTCAGGCAAGGTCTGGCAGCCCACCAGGCTAACTGAGCTCTGGGGCAAACCTTGATGTTGTAACATTTGTGCAGCAGTGAACCCACTAGAAGGAATGATGTTTTGCTCTTAACAGCGGTTAAACTGCTGTGATAAAAGCTTCTTTCACTACTCTGTAGTGATGTGTGACCTAGGGCTGGGCGATATGACGATTTTAGACCGTTTTACGATCTACACATCTGACGGTCTGTCATTTTTGAGAGACCTTTTTATCACGATTCACAGCTCTGCTGTCGAATTTCTGCCTCTGAATGAAAAGGGAACTTACCTCAGGTGAATGACACGCCTTTGTTTGACCCTTAACCAATCAGAGTGAGTCATAGTAATATATTAGTGCCCCGCTTGTTTTCACCTGTGTGTGAACAAACATGGCTTCGGCCACGGCCGAGAGCGTCAACGAGGTTTTCGTTCCGAAGAGGAACGCCTCGTCCGTTATATGGAACTGGTTCGGTTTTTCTCCAGATGACAAAGAGCAGCGAAACGTCATTTACAAGGAGAGCGTCAAGGCAAGTGATGGCAACACCACAAACTTGTTTAATCACTTGAAAAGAAGGCATCCCAAACAATACAATGAGAGCCAGCTGGCAGCTAAAGCTAAAAAGCCTGTGGCTGCAGCGGCTAGTGCTTCTTCCAGGCAGCAAACGCTAACAAACACTCAAGAAACTCACTCCCTACGACAGAGACAGCAGACGATGGAACAGCGTGACCGATGCAGGGACGTACCACTTGGTTAAAGATTTGTGTCCCGTGCGAACAGCAGGAGCGGGATTTAAGAACGTGATAAAAACATTGGATCCGCGCTACGAGTTTTCCAGCCGCAAGTATTTTTCGAACACCGCCATTCCACGCATGGACGCTGAATGCAAAGTGAGAGTTGCAGAAAATATTCAGAACGTGCAGTTTTTTGCTACCACAAGCGATCTCTGGTCCAGCCGCACGTCAGAGCCGTATTTGAGCTTAGCTTAAGTGTTCCCTCGCCTGGACACTGGTAACCGGAGACCTCTGAAGCCAGGTCTGGAGGTGGGGCACATTGGCAAGCGCCTGGTGACGAGCTTTCACCCATGGAGCCTGGCCGGGAGGACACATGGGTCCCCTTTCCCATGGGCTCACCACTTGTGAGAGGGGCCAAAGGGGTTGGGTGCAATATGTGACGGGTGGTAGCCAAAGGCAGTCTGATCCTCAGCTGCAGAAGCTGGCTCTAGGTATGTGGAATGTCACCTCTGTTATGGGGAAGGAGCCTGAGTTGGTGTGCGAGGTTGAGAGATTCAAGCTTTTTATGGTTGGACTCACCTCAACGCATGGCTCTGGCTCCGGAACCAGTTTCCTTGAGAGGGGTTGGGCTCTCTACGACTGCAGTTGCCCAGAGTGAGAGGCGCCGAGCAGGAGTGGACAAACTACTTGCCCCATCTTGGTGCTTGTATGTTTAGGTTTACCCCGGTGAACGAGAGAATTGCCTCCCTTCGCCTACTTGTGGAGTAGGGCTGTAGCGAAGCCTCGACGAAGTCGACGGCTCGATTCTAAAAATTTGTCGACGTCAGATCCGGAAGTCGACGCACCGCGCCCACTTGTTGCATCCCCAGGAGTTTGTAAATAGAGGAGGAATCTGCCTGTTTTTCCTCTAGTTCGCCCTCTTCTCCGCCTTCACTAACATCTCCGCCAAATACCGAAGACCCGGAACAATGTCCATCCACTACTAGATTATTTTCCTGTTTTGCCCCTTCGTCTCCCGGCAACGGACAACAACTTCCGGGGTCAGATGCGCTGCTTCGTGTCTATCGCAGATGTAGAAAATCACCGGGAGCGTTTCTCCCTTCATTAAGGAGCTTCTTTCAGACACGAGGAGAGCTGTTTGGTGGTAGCAGTCTCTCCTCCGTGCTGGTCTGTTTGCTGCTGGGTGTTTTTGGTTTATTTAAACTTGGTAACTTGAACTTAACGTTGGTAAAGCTACCGTTAGCATCTTCGCTAACAGCTTCTTGCGTTGGGATAAGCTGTTACGTTTTGGTTTAGAGTTCATCTTTTTTGTGGTGTAGATCTCCCTTTTATTACATTTAGAGTGTTGTGGGTTTTCGGTTTAGTGTAAAATATCACCTGAGTTTGGTTTAACCCGTAACACCACTCGCCTCACGCACATAAGTGACCAAAACAAAGCAGCATGGAGACACTCCATCTTCTACCACCTCTCAGGCAGCAGCCTGCACTCCCAAGTTCTACACGTCACCAGAACATAACCAACCAACACAATAAACGCAGTGTTATACAAAATGGAAGGCCTGTAGTGTTTATTCTCTTACAGTAAGAATTTATCAATTTTTTTGAGGAATTTATTTGAGATTTTCTGGTTTTTGTTAATTGTGCAAAAGAAAAATAATCATTAGATTAATTTTCTAAATAGTCATTAGAATAGTCGACTATTCGATAAAATAATCGTCAGAATAATCGTTTTAAAAATAATCGTTTACCCCCAGCCCTATTGTGGAGGGATGGATCCTGACTATTGTCTGTGTTCATGCACCAAACTACAGTTCAGACTACCCACCCTTTGTGGAGTCCTTGGAGGAGGTGCTGGAGAGCACTCCGCCAGGTGACTTCCTCGTTCTGCCGGGGGACTTCACGTGGGCAACGACAGTGAGACCTGGAGCGGTGTGGTGGGGAGGAACGACCCCCCTGATCTGAATTCGAGCGGTGTTTGGTGCTCATCATAGGTTGTCCATACTGAAAACCATGTTGGCATGAAGGTGTCCACATGTGTTCTTGACACCGGGATATCTTAGGTAGCAGCTCAATGATCGACTTTGTTGTTATTTCATCTGATCTCCGGCCGCATCTCGTGGACAGTCGGGTGAAGAGAGGGGCGGAGCTGTCAACTGACCACTACCTGGTGTTGAGTTGGCTTCGATGGCGGAGGAGGATGTCTGTCAGACCTGGTTGGCTCAGTTGTATTGTGAGGGTCTGCTGGGAGCGTCTGGCGGAGTCTCCACTCTGAAGCAGTTTCAGTTCCCACCTCAGACAAAACTTCCTAAATGTTCCGGGGGAGGTGGGGGACATTGAATCCGCGTGGGCCATGTTCTGTGCTTCCATTGTGGAGGTAGCCAACCAGAGCTGCGACCGCAGGTCGTTTGTGCCTGTTGGGGCAATCCCCGAACCCGCTGGTGGACACCAATTGTTAGAGAGATGCCATGAAGCTGAAGAAAGAATCCTGTTGGGTCTTTTTGGCTCGTGGGACTCCGCTGGACCCTCCTCTCCAGAACCCCTGAATAGACTTTACCAAAGTCTTTAAAAGTTATATTTAAAAAAACACATTATCAAATTTTTAATTTGTCGGGCACGACACTTGGTTTATTTACATCTACCAGCCTCTAGAGGGCACCGTTGCTCTACAAAGTCTGCGTTAGGCTGTGACTGTAAAATGGCAGTCTTGTTAAGTCAAGCAGCTGATTCTGAGCCCAGAAGATGTTCTAATGGTAAATACTGTTGTAAAGTATACTTATTAGTAGCAATTGGTCTTGATCCTGTACAATTTGTCAATGTTGTTGCAACTTCCATTTCTAAACACTAGAGGTCACCAGAGTCTCAGTGATCCAAATACAACCTTTAAAGAAAATACAGGTGATCCCTCGTTTATCGCGGTAGATGCGTTCCAGACCTGGCCGCGATAGGTGAAGATCCGCGAAGTAGGGACACCATATTTACAGTACAGTACTATATGATCACATTCTCTTTTTGTGGGTAAAACTCAAGAAAAAAAATAACTTTTTTTTAATATATTTTTATTTCAAAAAGTGCATTTTATGATGAAATTGATGAAAAAAACAGGAATTTCTTGATATTTCGCGTTGAAAAATACCGCGAATCGGTGAAAAATAACGTGAATCGGCGAATTTCCCGTGAATAAGGCTCCAAAGAAAAAATCCGCGAAGTCGTGAATGCGCGATAAACGAACAGCGAAGTAGCGAGGGATCACTGTACCATTATCAAAATGTACTTAAAATAATACTATACCTTTAGCTCTGTCCTGTTTTTGCCATATATAATGTTTGCTATTTTGAATAGAAATACAATGTAAAAGGTTTTTTGTTAGATTTTTGATTTTTTTTTTTTTTAGATTAAACTTTTTTTATGTAAAAAATTGCTTTGGGTACAAATTTCCCTCAACTCATTCACTGCCAGCCATTTAATGATCAGTAAAGCCCTTCGCTGCCAGCGTTTTTCAACGTTTTTACTGTTTTAGTCGCAGAACGTTGCGCACTAGGACGATGTCATCGCCAAAACAAAGCGGAGACTCACCTCTTACATCAGGATGAATCCGCCCGTTTCGAGCGTTATCCGTTCTTTCATAATCCGTTGTTGATTTGTGATCGGCAGAATCTTTTCCGGTTCGCGCCTCACTTTTTTTACAGCAGCGGCCAAAACGATCTCCTAACACAAGGATGTTCTGCTTCCTGATCACGTGACGTGTGACGTACGCGGATGAAGATCGGCTTTAGAGCTGGGATGTTTGTTCTCACGGTGCGGGGGCTCGTCCAACGCCCACACAGTAAAAACATGAAAATGACGACTTTAGTCATCAATGGCAGTGAATGAGTTAAAATGTGATTAATTATGGTTGATTACAACGTCTCTAAATATTAGATTTTGAAAATCCAAATCCCACCCCTAGTTAATATCAATACTAATAACAGAACAAATCTGCTGCAGCTGGTAAGACGGGCCTGGAGAAGGAGCAGGAGTTCATCAGGAAGTGCATAGAGAGTCTTCTGATGGCCTCGGCCAACCTCGAGAAGGACTCTCACTCTAGCCTGACCAGCATCGAGAGGGGACTGCTCATGCTGAAAACTCACCTGGAGGCCTTTAGACGCAGGTACGTGCAGATGGTCAAATCCACAAAGATCTGGTTAAACTTCATTAGGGCAGCACACGTTTACTGACATGTTGTAGTCTAGTTGTTGGAAACAGATGGTTTAAGTCTGACCTGGACTCGATGCTTTGAGGTGCTTTGTTGTAACTGGAGCTTCAAAACAAGCTGGACTGAAGTAGTGGTTTCCTGCGGCAGGTTTGCGTACCACCTGCGGCAGTGGCAGATCGAAGGGACGGGGATCAGCAGCCACCTGAAGGCTCTGAGCGATAAACAGTCTCTGCCTCTCAGAATTGTCTGTCAGCCTGCCGGCCTGCCGGACAAGGTAACACATTCCTCTGGTCTTTGTGGTTTCAGTTTGAAACCGCCGTCGTGGTGGAGGCTCCATGCAAGTATGTGACTGTTGAATAAAACACAAACTGCAGGACGACGAGGCAGTGAGGTTACTGGTTTTTGTGCTGGAACCAGAGCTAAGTGGTTCTGGTTTGGCTGGTTGTCTTCAGTTTTGCTGTGTTTTTATAATTTTTTTTGCAGATGACTATTGAGATGTATCCTAGCGACCAGGTTGCTGACCTGCGGGCCGAGGTCACCCACTGGTACGAGAACCTGCAAAAAGATCAGGTGAACCAGCAGGCTCAGCTGCAGGAGTTTGGTCAAAGCAGCCAGCAGCCTGGAGACTTCCCAGGTGAGTCATGTGCTCCAAAGGAGTAAAATGTCCTGGAAAATAATTTCCCCTCCTCGGGGATGAATGCAGGTGGATTAAACATTTTATACACGAATGTCTGTTTTCAGCTGCCTTCACTGGGCTGTAGCGCTGGTCTGCTTACATTTCTGCCTCTAACCTGCGCGCAGCGCTTCGTGTGACGCTACCAACCAGTCAAGCTGCATATTCCCTTAGAACAGTTCTGCTTCCCAGTGTTCCCAACAGTCTTTTCCAGAGTTACTGATTGTTCAGACCCAAGTGAGGGTTTATTTTTCCAAAGAAGGGCCAAAACTAGCAACTTTCCATTCAGGCACGTTGCTGCATCTCAGCATATGGAGTGAGAGTAGGGTTAGGGTTAGGGTTGGGGTTGAATTTGAACGATTCCCAATTCTCCTTTCGATTCTGATTCTTTCAAGAGGCAGGATCTGGAAACATGACATGTTTTAAGAGAGCCAGCTCGCCACAGGTCCTACTTGATGGAATAATCTGAACTTCAACATGAATTTTAATTCTATAAACAAATGCATCACCTTCATTTAGACCAAGACATCTTTTCAATGAAGAAAAACAAGACTTGCAGCACAGCTAGGGTTGTCACGGTAACCGGTGTAGCGGTAAACCCCGGTAAAAAAGTTGACAATAATAACCGTCTTGTTTTTAAAAAACTATATTATCTCGGTGGGATTAGCGTGGCTGCGGTGTAGGCGCGGTGACCCTTACCAGCCACCGTATCATCTGCTGAAGTTGCCGGCGGCACATGCGCACTTTGTTGTTTACAACCAAAACTTTCTTGAAGCTAAAGCTGAAATAATGGCCAAAGGAGGAGACGGCAGCACTTGGGACATTTATTATCCCTCAAAGAAGACAAAGTGGGAAGTACGGGCATGTTTTGGATATTTGAAGAGTGCAGAGGGACAGCTGATAGAAGACGGCTATCCTGTTTGCAGCACGAGCAGAAAACGTGTCTGTGAAAGGCAGAGACGCTTCAAATCTCATGACACATCTGCGTGACCATCACCCACAACTCTACAGTCAACGCAAGGCAAGCTAGCGTTAGCGTTTTAGCTAAAATGCGTGATCCGAGGATTTGGGTTGAGGGAGAATGCAACGAGTCGCTATATAAAGCAGCCGCAGCGCCGCTACCTGCATATAAACCGTGTCGCGGACACCGCCATGTTGAAATGACGCTATGCATTACGGGGCTCCCAGGGGCAGATAAGAGTTGGTCTCTCTCCGAGAATAATTATGAATTTAACAACGATTACTGCCTGATGACATTTTCCCACATCTGCAAAGCTCACTGGAAGGACACAAACCGAGGACAATATTTTCCTGATATAGGGTTTATTACTCAAGTAAGGGTAAAAAAAAGTATCTGATTAGAAGGCTACTTGAGTACTGAGTATCATCTGATCTAATATTTTTAAAATGATGACAGACAAAAAATAAGAAGTTATGGGCAAATATTGGTATTTTAAAGACTAAAGGGGAAAATGTAAACAAATAAACAACATAATTACAAAATAACACACACTTCTGTTTTAGTCCTGTTGCCCGGCCAGTAGAGGAGAGCAGCTGGCTTTGTGACAGACGACTACCGTTGCACAACTACGATGTGGATCTAGCGTATAGGTACAACATCATATCTGCTTCACCATATCCTGGTAAGATGGTACTGTCGGCACATCGCCCAGTCCTAGTGGAGATGGCCAGAGTCGTAGTGTAGCCGCTGAAAAAGTCTTAAATGTCCTGGAAAAGTCCTGGAAGATCATATCAAGGAAAGAATGGGAACCCTGGAGCAACATCTGGAGGTAAACTGAAAGAAGCTGAAGTCTCTGTTGCTTCCTGCAGGTGGTCTGATGGGACCGGTTAGGATGATCTCCTCGGGTCATGAGCTGACTACAGACTACGATGAAAAAACCCTGCATGAGCTGGGCTTTAAAGATATGCAGGTGACTGCTTCTATGTCTCCATGGCAACACAGTAGTTTATGACTGCAGCAGCACAGCAAAGAGAGCTCATGTATGTGTGTTGGGTTGCAGATGGTGTTTGTCTCTCTTGGAGCTCCACGGAGGGAGAGGAAGGGTGAGGGGGTCCAGCTGCCAGCCTCCTGTCTGCCTCCTCCTCAGAAGGAGCACATTCCTATGCTGTTGCTCCTCCAGGAGCCCCATCTCACCACACTGTTTGACCTGCTGGAGACGCTGGCCTCTTTCAAACCACCAAGCCCCAACACAGAGAAGGCCCTGGAGAGTCCAGAGGTCAGTGTGTTTCTGCTGTTTTACTAGTAGTGTTGCCGGGGTGAACCGGTTAGACATTAACCCCGGTTAACCAGCCATAAAAACATCTCCAACGCTGCCTGTAACTAAGACAATAGCGCGACCCACGCGGACAAAGACAAAAGTGAAACTGAACGCGCGCACGCAGCAGAAGCAGTGGCAACAACCATCAGAACTACTCCACTTCCACCTAGGAAGCGGTTGAAGTCTCCTGTGTGGGAATATTCTAGATGTTGGATAGAATCTCACTCAGGAGACTTGGAGAGAAGGAAACCTCTAGAGGAGCCTGGATCAGTATGAGCAGCCATCCACCACCACTCACTGGGGGGATTGAGAAGACGGAGCACACACACACACGTGCACACACATGCACACACACACACATATGTGCACACAGACATCCACACACACACACACACACACACACACCAAGTAGTGTTTCTATGGTTACATTGTGATTTCTTAGTAAATATTCTATTTGGTGAGAGATAAACTTTATTGTATTCATCCTAGTGGATCTATAATTAAACGGGTAAACTAGTAGTAGCACATCCAACGCCAAAGAGAGTAAAATGTTATTATCAGGAGAGCGAGAATGTTTAAGTGGTTAGCAGCAGTGTGCTAGACGATGAACGAAACTGAACCCAGTTCAGAATCGGGAGATAACATCCGATTCCGTTCGAGTGTCAAACTACATGATCAGGGAGGATTTCTACTCATGTGATTGGATCTGGAAATCTCTAGTTACTGGTATGTTACTGGTGTGTTACTGTATGTTACTGGTATGTGACTGTTGTTACTGGTATGTTACTGGTGTGTGACTGGTATGTTACTGGTGTGTTACTGGTATGTTACTGGTGTGTGACTGGTATGTTACTGGTATGTGACTGTTGTTACTGGTATGTTACTGGTGTGTGACTGTTGTTACTGGTATGTTACTGGTGTGTGACTGGTATGTTACTGGTGTGTGACTGGTATGTTACTAGTATGTGACTGTTGTTACTGGTGTGTGACTGTTGTTACTGGTGTGTGACTGTTGTTACTGGTGTGTTACTGGTATGTTACTGGTATGTTACTGGTGTGTGACTGGTATGTTACTGGTATGTGACTGTTGTTACTGGTATGTTACTGGTGTGTGACTGTTGTTACTGGTATGTTACTGGTGTGTTACTGGTATGTTACTGGTGTGTTACTGGTATGTTACTGGTATGTGACTGTTGTTACTGGTATGTTACTGGTGTGTGACTGTTGTTACTGGTATGTTACTGGTGTGTGACTGGTATGTTACTGGTGTGTGACTGGTGTGTGACTGTTGTTACTGGTGTGTGACTGTTGTTACTGGTGTGTGACTGGTGTGTGACTGTTGTTACTGGTGTGTGACTGTTGTTACTGGTGTGTGACTGGTGTGTGACTGTTGTTACTGGTGTGTGACTGTTGTTACTGGTGTGTGACTGGTGTGTGACTGTTGTTACTGGTTTGTGACTGTTGTTACTGGTGTGTGACTGTTGTTACTGGTGTGTGACTGTTGTTACTGGTGTGTGACTGTTGTTACTGGTGTGTGACTGGTGTGTGACTGTTGTTACTGGTGTGTGACTGTTGTTACTGGTGTGTGACTGGTGTGTGACTGTTGTTACTGGTGTGTGACTGTTGTTACTGGTGTGTGACTGGTGTGTGACTGTTGTTACTGGTGTGTGACTGTTGTTACTGGTGTGTGACTGTTGTTACTGGTGTGTGACTGTTGTTACTGGTGTGTGACTGTTGTTACTGGTGTGTTACTGTTGTTACTGGTGTGTGACTGTTGTTACTGGTGTGTGACTGTTGTTACTGGTATGTTACTGGTGTGTGACTGTTGTTACTGGTGTGTGACTGTTGTTACTGGTGTGTGACTGGTGTGTGACTGTTGTTACTGGTGTGTGACTGGTGTGTGACTGTTGTTACTGGTGTGTGACTGGTGTGTGACTGTTGTTACTGGTGTGTGACTGTTGTTACTGGTGTGTGACTGTTGTTACTGGTATGTTACTGGTGTGTGACTGTTGTTACTGGTGTGTGACTGTTGTTACTGGTGTGTGACTGGTGTGTGACTGTTGTTACTGGTGTGTGACTGGTGTGTGACTGTTGTTACTGGTGTGTGACTGGTGTGTGACTGTTGTTACTGGTGTGTGACTGGTGTGTGACTGTTGTTACTGGTGTGTGACTGTTGTTACTGGTGTGTGACTGTTGTTACTGGTGTGTGACTGGTGTGTGACTGGTGTGTTACTGGTGTGTGACTGGTGTGTGACTGTTGTTACTGGTGTGTTACTGGTGTGTGACTGTTGTGACTGGTGTGTGACTGTTGTTACTGGTGTGTGACTGTTGTGACTGGTGTGTGACTGTTGTTACTGGTGTGTTACTGGTGTGTGACTGTTGTTACTGGTGTGTTACTGGTGTGTGACTGTTGTTACTGGTGTGTTACTGGTGTGTGACTGTTGTTACTGGTGTGTGACTGGTGTGTGACTGTTGTTACTGGTGTGTGACTGGTGTGTGACTGTTGTTACTGGTGTGTGACTGGTGTGTGACTGTTGTTACTGGTGTGTGACTGTTGTTACTGGTGTGTGACTGGTGTGTGACTGGTGTGTTACTGGTGTGTGACTGGTGTGTGACTGTTGTTACTGGTGTGTTACTGGTGTGTGACTGTTGTGACTGGTGTGTGACTGTTGTTACTGGTGTGTGACTGTTGTGACTGGTGTGTGACTGTTGTTACTGGTGTGTTACTGGTGTGTGACTGTTGTTACTGGTGTGTTACTGGTGTGTGACTGTTGTTACTGGTGTGTGACTGTTGTTACTGGTGTGTGACTGTTGTTACTGGTGTGTGACTGGTGTGTGACTGTTGTTACTGGTGTGTGACTGGTGTGTGACTGTTGTTACTGGTGTGTGACTGGTGTGTGACTGTTGTTACTGGTGTGTTACTGGTGTGTGACTGTTGTTACTGGTGTGTGACTGTTGTTACTGGTGTGTGACTGTTGTTACTGGTGTGTGACTGTTGTTACTGGTGTGTTACTGGTGTGTGACTGTTGTGACTGGTGTGTGACTGTTGTTACTGGTGTGTTACTGGTGTGTGACTGTTGTGACTGGTGTGTGACTGTTGTTACTGGTGTGTTACTGGTGTGTGACTGTTGTTACTGGTGTGTGACTGTTGTGACTGGTGTGTGACTGGTGTGTGACTGTTGTTACTGGTGTGTGACTGGTGTGTGACTGTTGTTACTGGTGTGTTACTGGTGTGTGACTGTTGTTACTGGTGTGTTACTGGTGTGTGACTGTTGTTACTGGTGTGTGACTGTTGTTACTGGTGTGTTACTGGTGTGTGACTGTTGTGACTGGTGTGTGACTGTTGTTACTGGTGTGTTACTGGTGTGTGACTGTTGTGACTGGTGTGTGACTGTTGTTACTGGTGTGTTACTGGTGTGTGACTGTTGTGACTGGTGTGTGACTGTTGTTACTGGTGTGTTACTGGTGTATGACTGTTGTTACTGGTGTGTGACTGTTGTGACTGGTGTGTGACTGGTGTGTGACTGTTGTTACTGGTGTGTGACTGGTGTGTGACTGTTGTTACTGGTGTGTTACTGGTGTGTGACTGTTGTTACTGGTGTGTGACTGGTGTGTGACTGTTGTTACTGGTGTGTTACTGGTGTGTGACTGTTGTGACTGGTGTGTGACTGGTGTGTGACTGTTGTTACTGGTGTGTGACTGTTGTTACTGGTGTGTGACTGGTGTGTGACTGGTGTGTGACTGTTGTTACTGGTGTGTGACTGTTGTTACTGGTGTGTGACTGGTGTGTGACTGTTGTTACTGGTGTGTGACTGTTGTTACTGGTGTGTGACTGGTGTGTGACTGTTGTTACTGGTGTGTGACTGTTGTTACTGGTGTGTGACTGGTGTGTGACTGTTGTTACTGGTGTGTGACTGGTGTGTGACTGTTGTTACTGGTATGTGACTGTTGTTACTGGTGTGTGACTGTTGTTACTGGTGTGTTACTGGTGTGTGACTGTTGTGACTGGTGTGTGACTGTTGTTACTGGTGTGTGACTGGTGTGTGACTGTTGTTACTGGTGTGTTACTGGTGTGTGACTGTTGTGACTGGTGTGTGACTGTTGTTACTGGTGTGTGACTGGTGTGTGACTGTTGTTACTGGTGTGTTACTGGTGTGTGACTGTTGTGACTGGTGTGTGACTGTTGTTACTGGTGTGTTACTGGTGTGTGACTGTTGTTACTGGTGTGTGACTGGTGTGTGACTGTTGTGACTGGTGTGTGACTGTTGTTACTGGTGTGTGACTGTTGTTACTGGTGTGTGACTGTTGTTACTGGTGTGTTACTGGTGTGTGACTGTTGTGACTGGTGTGTGACTGGTGTGTGACTGTTGTTACTGGTGTGTGACTGTTGTTACTGGTGTGTGACTGTTGTGACTGGTGTGTGACTGGTGTGTGACTGGTGTGTGACTGTTGTTACTGGTGTGTGACTGTTGTTACTGGTGTGTTACTGGTGTGTGACTGTTGTTACTGGTGTGTTACTGGTGTGTGACTGTTGTGACTGGTGTGTGACTGTTGTTACTGGTGTGTGACTGGTGTGTGACTGTTGTTACTGGTATGTGACTGTTGTTACTGGTGTGTGACTGTTGTTACTGGTATGTGACTGGTGTGTGACTGTTGTTACTGGTGTGTGACTGTTGTTACTGGTGTGTGACTGTTGTTACTGGTATGTGACTGGTGTGTGACTGTTGTTACTGGTGTGTGACTGGTGTGTGACTGTTGTTACTGGTGTGTGACTGGTGTGTGACTGTTGTTACTGGTATGTTACTGGTGTGTGACTGGTATGTTACTGGTATGTGACTGTTGTTACTGGTGTGTGACTGGTGTGTGACTGTTGTTACTGGTGTGTGACTGTTGTTACTGGTGTGTGACTGTTGTTACTGGTGTGTGACTGGTGTGTGACTGTTGTTACTTGTGTGTGACTGGTGTGTGACTGTTGTTACTGGTGTGTGACTGGTGTGTGACTGTTGTTACTGGTGTGTTACTGGTGTGTGACTGTTGTTACTGGTGTGTGACTGTTGTTACTGGTGTGTGACTGGTGTGTGACTGTTGTTACTGGTATGTGACTGTTGTTACTGGTGTGTGACTGTTGTTACTGGTGTGTTACTGGTGTGTTACTGGTGTGTGACTTTTGTGACTGGTGTGTGACTGGTGTGTGACTGTTGTGACTGGTGTGTGACTGTTGTTACTGGTGTGTGACTGTTGTTACTGGTATGTGACTGTTGTTACTGGTGTGTGACTGTTGTTACTGGTGTGTGACTGGTGTGTGACTGTTGTTACTGGTGTGTGACTGGTGTGTGACTGTTGTGACTGGTGTGTGACTGTTGTTACTGGTGTGTGACTGGTGTGTGACTGTTGTGACTGGTGTGTGACTGTTGTTACTGGTGTGTGACTGTTGTTACTGGTATGTGACTGTTGTTACTGGTGTGTGACTGTTGTTACTGGTGTGTGACTGGTGTGTGACTGTTGTTACTGGTGTGTTACTGGTGTGTGACTGTTGTGACTGGTGTGTGACTGTTGTTACTGGTGTGTGACTGGTGTGTGACTGTTGTTACTGGTATGTGACTGTTGTTACTGGTGTGTGACTGTTGTTACTGGTATGTGACTGGTGTGTGACTGTTGTTACTGGTGTGTGACTGTTGTTACTGGTGTGTGACTGTTGTTACTGGTATGTGACTGGTGTGTGACTGTTGTTACTGGTGTGTGACTGGTGTGTGACTGTTGTTACTGGTGTGTGACTGGTGTGTGACTGTTGTTACTGGTATGTTACTGGTGTGTGACTGGTATGTTACTGGTATGTGACTGTTGTTACTGGTGTGTGACTGGTGTGTGACTGTTGTTACTGGTGTGTGACTGTTGTTACTGGTGTGTGACTGTTGTTACTGGTGTGTGACTGGTGTGTGACTGTTGTTACTGGTGTGTGACTGGTGTGTGACTGTTGTTACTGGTGTGTGACTGGTGTGTGACTGTTGTTACTGGTGTGTTACTGGTGTGTGACTGTTGTTACTGGTGTGTGACTGTTGTTACTGGTGTGTGACTGGTGTGTGACTGTTGTTACTGGTATGTGACTGTTGTTACTGGTGTGTGTCTGTTGTTACTGGTGTGTTACTGGTGTGTGACTGTTGTGACTGGTGTGTGACTGGTGTGTGACTGTTGTGACTGGTGTGTGACTGTTGTTACTGGTGTGTGACTGTTGTTACTGGTATGTGACTGTTGTTACTGGTGTGTGACTGTTGTTACTGGTGTGTGACTGGTGTGTGACTGTTGTTACTGGTGTGTGACTGGTGTGTGACTGTTGTTACTGGTGTGTGACTGGAGTGTGACTGTTGTTACTGGTGTGTGACTGGTGTGTGACTGTTGTTACTGGTGTGTTACTGGTGTGTGACTGTTGTTACTGGTGTGTGACTGTTGTTACTGGTGTGTGACTGTTGTTACTGGTGTGTTACTGGTGTGTGACTGTTGTTACTGGTGTGTTACTGGTGTGTGACTGTTGTTACTGGTGTGTGACTGTTGTTACTGGTGTGTGACTGGTGTGTTACTGTTGTTACTGGTGTGTGACTGGTGTGTGACTGTTGTTACTGGTGTGTGACTGGTGTGTGACTGTTGTTACTGGTGTGTGACTGGTGTGTGACTGTTGTTACTGGTGTGTTACTGGTGTGTGACTGGTGTGTGACTGTTGTTACTGGTGTGTGACTGTTGTTACTGGTGTGTGACTGTTGTTACTGGTGTGTTACTGGTGTGTGACTGTTGTTACTGGTGTGTTACTGGTGTGTGACTGTTGTTACTGGTGTGTGACTGTTGTTACTGGTGTGTTACTGGTGTGTGACTGTTGTTACTGGTGTGTTACTGGTGTGTGACTGTTGTTACTGGTGTGTTACTGGTGTGTGACTGGTGTGTGACTGTTGTTACTGGTGTGTGACTGTTGTTACTGGTGTGTTACTGGTGTGTGACTGGTGTGTGACTGTTGTTACTGGTGTGTGACTGTTGTTACTGGTGTGTGACTGTTGTTACTGGTGTGTGACTGGTGTGTGATTGTTGTTACTGGTGTGTGACTGTTGTTACTGGTGTGTTACTGGTGTGTGACTGTTGTTACTGGTATGTTACTGGTGTGTGACTGTTTTTACTGGTGTGTGACTGTTGTTACTGGTATGTTACTGGTGTGTGACTGTTGTTACTGGTGTGTGACTGGTGTGTGATTGTTGTTACTGGTGTGTGACTGGTGTGTGACTGTTGTTACTGGTATGTTACTGGTGTGTGACTGTTTTTACTGGTGTGTGACTGTTGTTACTGGTATGTTACTGGTGTGTGACTGGTGTGTGACTGTTGTTACTGGTATGTTACTGGTGTGTGACTGTTGTTACTGGTGTGTGACTGTTGTTACTGGTATGTTACTGGTGTGTGACTGTTGTTACTGGTATGTTACTGGTGTGTGACTGTTGTTACTGGTATGTTACTGGTGTGTGACTGTTGTTACTGGTATGTTACTGGTGTGTGACTGTTGTTACTGGTGTGTTACTGGTGTGTGACTGTTGTTACTGGTGTGTGACTGTTGTTACTGGTGTGTTACTGGTGTGTGACTGTTGTTACTGGTGTGTTACTGGTGTGTGACTGTTGTTACTGGTGTGTTACTGGTGTGTGACTGTTGTGTTACTGGTGTGTTACTGGTGTGTGACTGTTGTGTTACTGGTGTGTTACTGGTGTGTGACTGTTGTGTGACTGTTGTTACTGGTGTGTTACTGGTGTGTGACTGTTGTTACTGGTGTGTTACTGGTGTGTGACTGTTGTTACTGGTGTGTTACTGGTGTGTTACTGGTGTGTGACTGTTGTTACTGGTGTGTTACTGGTGTGTGACTGTTGTTACTGGTGTGTTACTGGTGTGTGACTGTTGTTACTGGTGTGTTACTGGTGTGTGACTGTTGTTACTGGTGTGTTACTGGTGTGTGACTGTTGTTACTGGTGTGTTACTGGTGTGTGACTGTTGTTACTGGTATGTTACTGGTGTGTGACTGTTGTTACTGGTGTGTGACTGTTGTTACTGGTATGTTACTGGTGTGTGACTGTTGTTACTGGTGTGTCACTGGTGTGTGACTGTTGTTACTGGTATGTTACTGGTATGTTACTGGTGTGTGACTGTTGTTACTGGTGTGTGACTGTTGTTACTGGTGTGTTACTGGTGTGTGACTGTTGTTACTGGTGTGTGACTGTTGTTACTGGTGTGTTACTGGTGTGTGACTGTTGTTACTGGTGTGTTACTGGTGTGTGACTGTTGTTACTGGTGTGTTACTAGTGTGTGACTGTTGTTACTGGTATGTTACTGGTGTGTGACTGGTGTGTGACTGTTGTTACTGGTGTGTGACTGGTGTGTGACTGTTGTTACTGGTATGTTACTGGTGTGTGACTGTTGTTACTGGTGTGTGACTGGTGTGTGACTGTTGTTACTGGTGTGTGACTGTTGTTACTGGTATGTTACTGGTGTGTGACTGTTGTTACTGGTACGTTACTGGTGTGTGACTGTTGTTACTGGTACGTTACTGGTGTGTGACTGTTGTTACTGGTGTGTGACTGTTGTTACTGGTGTGTTACTGGTGTGTGACTGTTGTTACTGGTATGTTACTGGTGTGTGACTGTTGTTACTGGTGTGTTACTGGTGTGTGACTGTTGTTACTGGTACGTTACTGGTGTGTGACTGTTGTTACTGGTGTGTGACTGTTGTTACTGGTGTGTTACTGGTGTGTGACTGTTGTTACTGGTATGTTACTGGTGTGTGACTGTTGTTACTGGTGTGTTACTGGTGTGTGACTGGATGGTACATGCTAGAAATGATCGGCTTTTCATGTTTACAAGATAAGAGTTCCTGTCTCATAGTCCCGTAACAGTGCTTATTGAAGTCATTGTTCATCTACATGTTGCATGCTCTGATCATCTTGAGTTTAATAGAAAACAGCAGGACTTCTTTGTTCTGTCCATCCCTAGTTTCAGAACTGAACAAGCTTCGTTGATGGGTCTAAATTTCCTCAGAATTATCTAAAAATTCCAGCTGTTCTTAAATAAAACTCAAGATGACTGAGAATGTACACCAGTGTTAACATGTTATACTGTTAAATAGTTTAATAGGGTGTGTGTATGTTTTGAAATCCAGAGTGCACGCTGTGAGGAGCTTCATCTCCACGCAGAGAATCTGTCCCGTCGGGTTTGGGAGCTGTTGATGCTTCTGCCCACATGTCCCAAGATGCTTCAGGCCTTCCAGAACATCTCTGATGAAACCGTTGGTTACCCTCTCTGCAGAGCTGTTCCCTGCTGTTAGAAATGGAGTCGGACATTGAGATTGTACTTTTTTTCTCGTAGAATGAAGACGGTCTGTGTTGGAAGGAGTTACTGAGGATCAAAAGTCCCCACAAGCTTCTCTACGCTCTGGAAATCATCGAAGCTCTGGGCAAACCCAACCGACGCATCCATAGAGAGTCAACCGTGAGACACTTTGTGCTTGTTGTAGGGCTGCTCGATTATGGCAGAAAGGATCATCATGATTATTTTGAGGACATTTTAAAAAATTAAGCTTTTTATTTAATTTTATTTTATTTTTTGGTAATAAGATTGCACAGGGCACAATCAGAGGAAAAAAATAAATAAGAACAAGAAAGAAACAAGATAATCACATATCAACCTCTGATGCCAGCACACTTGCTCGTGGTTTACGACCCCAAAGGGCTGAGGGTTAACGTATCTAAGCCTACCCAATACAGACACATTTTGATAAAAATAATAACAGCAAGAGTTATACAGTGCATTTATAATACAAGGAATATAAACGTATAAACACCTATGTTGTAGTGAACTTCAACACAACGTTGCACAGGAATTATTTCGAGCTGTCCAGTGGTGCTGTAGGTGTTCAGTAGCAACGTGTCGCTCAGAGAGCTGAGCGAGAGTTACGAATGTAAATATGGTTCTATTTCATTCCTCCTGACCACCAGAGGGCGGTGCAGAGCACCTGGACATCCACATGTCATGCTATTGGACGTGACCTCGTGATGGAAGTCTATATATATATATACATATACATATATATATATATATATATATATATATATATATATATATGTATATGTATACCCCACGCCACTGGAACTCAGTCATTTTTGGCTGCAGCACAGATGTCACTCAGTGGGACTCAGCGCAGCCCAAGTAGCAGACATCCCTCTGGTGGAGTGGCACCTGACTCCGAGAGGCGTTGGACCTTTGGAAGTGTAAGCCTGCAAAGTTCCATCAACGACCCCGTGCGAAAACCGTTGTTTGGAAATGGCGCAATCTTTTCTACGACCACTATAACGTAAGAAATGGCCTCTGTCTTACGAGCTGCAGCAGTCACACTGATGTATCGCCTCAACGTTCTAACAGGACACAAAAGGCTTGAAGCAGACACACCTGACCCAGAATGTGGGGTAATCACAGCCGAGGACGTAGGCTGGTTAATATGAAATGCAGACAACCTTTTGGGCCAGAAATATGGGTCGGGCCACAAGATCGCCACAGACCCATCTGTATTCCATCACAAGCAATACTCGGCGACCGATAGGGCGAGCAGTTAACTCGCATGCTTTGCAGAAGAGAGTGCCAGGACCAGAGGAAGGTCCCAAGAAGGCACTTGTGGCAGCTTCGGAGGACGCAGGCGCAAAGCTCCTGCACACTAGTGAATGTGACACAACCATCCACAAGGGCGTGGGGCGGAAATTGCAGCGACATACGCCTTAATAGTGGAGATGGGGAGGCCTTTCTCCAGAGGCCCGTGTAGCGGTCCGGATCCTTTTTCTTACTTTCACACCGTTAGTAAACCGTTACCGTACAGTACCCTGATAGATGAAGCACAAGCATGAAGGATAATTTGAACAACCGCCTGTTGACACGAGTTCAACAGGGCGTCCGGCCCTGCAGTGGCTATAGAGGGAGGATGCAGTCATGGTCAAAGATTTGAACGCAGTGCAGACGAAAAACACTTTTTGGCTCGGTATCAAAGAACTCTTTGCAGAATTGACCATAAAACCTAACCGAGACATGTGGTCCAGTAGGATGGATGTGTGGTATTGGGCCTGCTCTGGAGTTGGAGCGCACACGAGCCAGTCGTCCAGGTAGGAATGGATTTGCATTCCCCAGGCTTGCAGCAGAGCGAGTGCTGTGGCCACACATCTGGTGAACGTGCATGGCGAAAGCAAGAAAATGACAGGGCGCTTCCCCAAAACAAAAAGCTATTATTGTGCAGGGCCTGAACACGGAGTCAGAAACAGCAACGGAGGTTGGGTCAACCTCCCCTACTCCAGTATCTGTGGGGTCGGTCGGGTCAGCGTCGCCATCAGAGGAGGAGGAAGGAGAAGTTATGAAGTTACCAGGTTGAAGACTCCGAAGCCAAGGTGTTGAACCTTTTTAGCTAAGGGGGCTTCAGCGTGTGAAGGTTTGCGGTGCTTCACTGCCTTCCCGGGGCCTGAGGCCAGGGTTCCCTGAGGCATGCAGGTGCAGACCGCACAGGTGCCCTCGGTGCGGGCCTCCCTCAAACGTCCAATTCCTTTCTTAGTTTCCTGAAGCACGGTCCGGAGCGCAGGCTGAGTGTTTTGCTAACCTGCAGGAATTATCGACGATAGTTATCCAGAAAGTAGCTGGGTTACCAGAAATGTTTCTAGGTTGTTCTCTGGGTACTTTTAGAAAAAAGCCAAAGAACGGGGTTTGAAAAGTTGTTATAAATAGCGACAAAATTGCTAAAAGTTAGCAACGCTGTTGAGAGGAGCGTTTGATTAGCAAATAAGCAAATAATTGGCTTGTTTTGTTTTAATAATTGTTGTAAACTCTGATGTAATTGTGATGAAAGCAGAGTGATTGAGCAGCCGTAGTTGGTTTGTATATTTGGTGGCAGGTGAGTTGTTAAAAGCTTTGTGGGATGGGCTCCTGGTGAATGTCTGTTCTCTGCTGATTTCAGGGCAGCTATAGTGATCTTTACCCAGACTCTGATGACTCCAGTGAGGACCTGATAGAAAACAGCAAAAACACCTGGAGCTGCAAGGTACAAAAGCAGCACTGCAACAGAGCAAAGCAACGGTCCCACCTCCACATCTGACATAATTGTTCTCTACTTCAGTTTGTTTCATCTGGAGGTCTGCAGCTGCTCCTGGAAATCTTCAACTCGGGCATCCTGGAACCCAAAGACCAGGAGTCTTGGACTGTGGTGAGACGTCCAAAATGTTTGGACCTTTCAGTTTCTGCCTCAGCGTTCTGCTCTGATCAGACGGTTGGTTATTAGTTTAAAGCAGTGGTCCGCAAATGGCGGCTCGCGGGCCGGGCGTGGCTCTCTCTGTGGCCCCCAAACCCCCGACGGCCGATCGGGAGGTTTAGGATAGAGCTGAGGAAAATAATCAAATAATCCATGCATGAGATGCGGGCATAAACGGTAGATGTGTTATTTTAACGGCGGCACCAGCGCAGCATCCACATCTGTCAGGGCGGGGTTCTCCACATTTACCGGGTAGGAAACTTTGGTCTGCCTTTATGTGGTTCTGCAGGGCTGAGCGCTGGAGTTATAACCCGAACCGAATTAGCCCGACCGGTTCTGTTGGATTTAGGCCGTAAATTATGTTAATTGAGCGGGTTGTCGCGCGCTCCGCTCGCTCAATCAGCGACTGAGACAGAGAGAGAGGATCGGAGGACGCTCCTCCAAACACGCGTTATTATTTTCATAATTTCATTATTGTTTCTCCTGGAAGCGCTCAGTCAGACCGAGTGCTGTGATGTCGGGAGATCCGGTCTTGGGGAGGGGGCGGGGTCAGTGACGGCGGCTGCAGCGTGATCGTCTGTCTCTTTTATTTAGGGACACGGAGAAGTTAAAAGTAGAGAGAAATAGAAGATAGAAGTTCTTGGTCCCCTTTATTGTTTTGTTCCATGATGATAAACTGATGTTAAATTCAGTGGAAAGAGAAACTGGGAGGAAGCTTTGGTCCATTTTAGGTTACAGGAGGTCTCGTCTCCTATCTGCTCCTCCAGAGACAGCATGGACATGAGGGTCACATGGTGAGGGTCCCACAGGACAGGTTAGTGCAGTCACACAGCCGAGCTGGAGGGGGACAGGTGTTGTCCTGCTTTATATTGCAAGCTTGTGTGTTATGTGCGTTACAGCAGCCCCCCCCCCCGCCGCCCCGGCCCTCTTGCTTCTGGATCTTTTGTGTGGCCCTCGGACCGTTATAATTGAGGACCCCTGGTTTAACGTGTCTGAAACCTAGAGCGTCGGTGACTTCTGTCAGGGCTGAGTTCAGATTTAAAACTCTTCCTGGGTGAGGCTGATTAAAGGTTTCCTGTTTCCAGATGTTTTGCTGATCATCTCGCTGTTTTTCTGTCTAGTGGCAGCTTGACTGCCTCGCTTGTCTGCTGAAGCTGATCTCCCAGTTTGCTGTGGACCCTGCAGACCTGGACCTGGCCTACCATGATGTCTTCTCGTGGTCTGGCCTCGTCGAGAGTCAGCGCAAACGGGTGTGGCCGGGCAAATCCCGGAAATCCACCGTGGATCACGGAAAAGGGCTGCACATCCCTCGCCTGACTGAGGTGGGCCTCCCTGTGGTTAATGGTGGTGGAGATGTGCTGCACGAACTTCTCACTGATGAAGCTGGTGTGTTGTTCTCAGGTGTTCCTCAGCCTCGTCCAGGGCACCAACCTGATCCAGAGACTCATCAATGTGGCCTACACCTACGACAACCTCGCACACAGGTGTGCTGCTGAACAAGAACGCAAATCTTTTGACAGAACCTGACTAGGATCTGAGCTCATTGATGTGTTTTGTTTTGGTTCTGCAGAGTTCTTAAAGCTCAGTCGGACCACAGGTCTCGACATGAAGGTGAGAATTCACTAGGAGGGCTCTCTGTCCTGTTGTGGGACACTTTCAGCCTCAGGTGTTTAACAATGAGGTTTGTTACCCGCAGTGACGCACTACTCCATGTGGCTGCTGGTGAGTTGGGCTCACTGCTCCTCCATGGTGAAGTCCAGTCTAGCCGACAGCGAGCATCTCCACAACTGGCTGAAGAAACTCACCCTGCTGGTTCCTGAGGTGAGCCGCGGCGTGTTGTCCTGCAGGCCGAGTCTCTGAGTCAAGCATCAGTTAAATCTGTGAAGACACCTCTGTGTTTTTGTTGCTGGGTTGATTTAGACGGCTGTGAGACACGAAGCGTGCAACGGCCTCTACAAGCTCTCGCTGTCGGGGCTGGAGGGTGGAGAGTCCATCAACAGGTCTTTCCTTCTGCTCGCCGCCTCCACGCTGCTCAAGTTCCTGCCTGATGCACAGGCCCTCAAGCCCCTGAGGGTGGGTGTCACACACACACACACACACACACACACACACACACACACACACACACACACACACACACACACACACACACACACACACACACATGCTTTTATGTGGAGGGACAACCTGTTAGCACGCTACACACTGTCTTTCGTCCTTGGGGACAGGGAGCTTTGCTGCAGGGAACCCGGTTTGTTTCTGAGACATTGTCCCTGTTGTGGGACAACTCCGGAGATACCGGGGCAGTGCTCCACCTTCTCACACGGAGTTTGATCCCTGTGTGGCCTTGCAGGCGGAGGAGTTTGAGGAGGAGCCCCTGCTGCAGACCGGCTGTAAGGAGTACTTCTGGCTGCTCTGCAAACTCATTGATAACATCCACGTGAAAGACGCCAGCCAGGTAGGAGTCTGTCTTCTGTCCTGGTGACCTCTGATCAGGACTTAAGACACACTTTGGTGGATGGTGTTTTGCATTGAGCTGTTGCTAGTTTTGGTCTGTTTGAACTCACAGAAGGTCTCTCCCTCTATGTCGCTGACCGGTCCCGTTCAGACCACCCTACTGGACCTTGATGCTCTCGCCCGACACCTGGCCGACTGCATACGAAGGTAAGACACCAACAACTAACTTGATTTCTTTTGGAACCGAACATGCAGAGCTGTAAAGCAAACTAGCATTTCATCTTCTCTCCTCCCTGTCCCTTTAGCCGAGAAATCCTGGACCAGCAGGACGGGACCATCGAGGACGATGGGTTGACAGGACTCCTGCGTCTCGCCACCAGTGTTCTGAAACACAAACCTCCATTTAAGTTCTCCCGCGAGGGGCAGGAGTTCCTGAGGGACGTCTACAACCTGCTCTTCCTCCTCCCGAGCCTAGCTGACCGTTCGCAACCCAAATGCAAGTCCCACTCTGCCCGGGCGGCCTCCTATGACCTGCTGGTGGAGATGGTGAAGGGCTCGGTGGAGAACTACCGGCTGCTCCACAACTGGGTCATGTCGCAGCACATGCAGTGTGAGTGTTCTGGCCTCTTCACTCAGATTGATTAAAAGAACCAGTTTGTCCTTCGTGCCAGCTGCGCTCTGTCAGTAGACCACAGATACAAGGGTCTGACTCGTATCTTCCTGCATCTCCTCTCAATTCTCCAGTTTGAGCATTGCTACAGAGAATCCAGTCCCTCTGGTGGGACTGGTGCTGGAGAAACTGGGCAGACCTCACAGTAATGCTGCCCATCACCATTTAAGTGTTGTTTTTGTTGAGATCGATGGTGAGTGGATTTTGTTGACGCACCGTTTTCCTCGTATCGAAAACAAGACTGACGAGCTACAAATAGCTCTTTGGTGTAGAACATGACGAAATGTGCGGGAGGTTTTGTTGACGAGCCGAGACAAAACGGAAGCCATGCTCAAAATTCACATTTCTGCCTGTCTCACAAAGACTCAAAGCAACGGCGCTGCTGCTTTGTGTCCCAGCTACAGCAGCTGAGTGAAGCTGGCCCCACACACACACATCAGAAATCCAGCACTAATGTGGCACTACCCACTGGTGGATGCGAAGCCAACTTCACTCAGCTCTACTCGGTAACCCTGCCACGGGAACACGCAGAGCGTCACCGTCCCGATGCTTTTAAGGAAATTAATGAGAAGAACTAAAGTGATGAGGCTACTGTAAGAGAGAGAGAACATAGGTGAGGGAGAGAGAGAGAGAGAACATAGGTGAGTGAGGTAGAGTGAGAGAACATAGGTGAGTGAGGTAGAGAGAGAGAACATAGGTGAGCGAGGTAGAGAGAGAGAGAACATAGGTGAGCGAGGTAGAGAGAGAGAACATAGGTGAGGGAGAGAGAGACAGAACATAGGTGAGCGAGGTAGAGAGAGAACATAGGTGAGTGAGGGAGAGAGAGGGAACATAGGTGAGTGAGTGAGAGAGAGAGAACATAGGTGAGTGAGGGAGAGAGAGAACATAGGTGAGTGAGGGAGAGAGAGAGAGAACATAGGTGAGCGAGGTAGAGAGAGAGAGAACATAGGTGAGCGAGGTAGAGAGAGAACATAGGTGAGTGAGGGAGAGAGAGAGAACATAGGTGAGTGAGTGAGAGAGAGAGAACATAGGTGAGTGAGGGAGAGAGAGAACATAGGTGAGTGAGGGAGAGAGAGAGAACATAGGTGAGTGAGGGAGAGAGAGAACATAGGTGAGTGAGGGAGAGAGAGAACATAGGTGAGTGAGGGAGAGAGAGAACATAGGTGAGTGAGGGAGAGAGAGAACATAGGTGAGTGAGGGAGAGAGAGAACATAGGTGAGTGAGGGAGAGAGAGAGAGAACATAGGTGAGTGAGGGAGAGAGAGAGAGAACATAGGTGAGTGAGGGAGAGAGAGAGGGAGAAGATAGGTGAGTGAGGGAGAGAGAGGGAGAAGATAGGCGAGTGAGGGAGAGAGAACATAGGTGAGTGAGCGAGAGAGAGGGTGAAAATAGGTGAGTGAGGGAGAGAGAGGGTGAACATAGGTGAGTGAGGGAGAGAGAACATAGGTGAGTGAGGGAGAGAGAGAACATAGGTGAGTGAGGGAGAGAGAGAACATAGGTGAGTGAGGGAGAGAGAGAACATAGGTGAGTGAGGGAGAGAGAGAACATAGGTGAGTGAGGGAGAGAGAGAACATAGGTGAGTGGGGGAGAGAGAACATAGGTGAGTGAGCGAGAGAGAGAGAGAACATAGGTGAGTGAGCGAGAGAGAGAGAACATAGGTGAGTGAGAGAGAGAGAGAGAGAACATAGGTGAGTGAGGGAGAGAGAGAACATAGGTGAGTGAGGGAGAGAAAGAACATAGGTGAGTGAGGGAGAGAGAGAACATAGGTGAGTGAGGGAGAGAGAGAACATAGGTGAGTGAGGGAGAGACAGAACATAGGTGAGTGAGGGAGAGAGAGAACATAGGTGACTGAGGGAGAGAGAGAACATAGGTGAGCGAGGGAGAGACAGAACATAGGTGAGTGGGGGAGAGAGAACATAGGTGAGTGAGGGAGAGAGAGAACATAGGTGAGCGAGGGAGAGACAGAACATAGGTGAGCGAGGGAGAGAGAGAACATAGGTGAGCGAGAGAGAGGGAGAACATGGGTGAGTGAGGGAGAGAGAGGGAGAACATAGGTGAGCGAGAGAGAGGGAGAACATAGGTGAGTGAGGGAGAGAGAGGGAGAACATAGGTGAGTGAGGGAGAGAGAGAGAACATAGGTGAGCGAGAGAGAGAGAGAGAGAGAGAACATAGGTGAGTGAGGGAGAGAGAGGGAGAACATGTGAGTGAGGGAGAGAGAACATAGGTGAGCAAGAGAGAGAGAGAGAACATAGGTGAGCGAGGGAGAGGGTGAACATAGGTGAGTGAGGGAGAGAGTGAGAGAACAGGTGAGTGAGGGAGAGACAGAACATAGGTGAGTGAGGGAGAGAGAGAACATAGGTGAGTGAGGGAGAGAGAGAACATAGGTGAGCGAGGGAGAGAGAGAACATAGGGGAGCGAGGGAGAGACAGAACATAGGGGAGCGAGGGAGAGACAGAACATAGGTGAGTGAGGGAGAGAGAGAACATAGGTGAGTGAGGGAGAGAGAGAACATGGGTGAGTGAGGGAGAGAGAGAACATGGGTGAGTGAGGGAGAGAGAGAACATGGGTGAGTGAGGGAGAGAGAGAACATGGGTGAGTGAGGGAGAGAGAGGGAGAACATAGGTGAGTGAGGGAGAGAGAGAGAACATAGGTGAGCGAGGGAGAGGGTGAACATAGGTGAGTGAGGGAGAGAGTGAGAGAACATAGGTGAGTGAGGGAGAGACAGAACATAGGTGAGTGAGGGAGAGAGAGAGAACATAGGTGAGCGAGAGAGAGAGAGAGAGAACATAGGTGAGCGAGAGAGAGAGAGAACATAGGTGAGTGAGGGAGAGAGAGAGAACATGGGTGAGTGAGGGAGAGAGAGAACATGGGTGAGTGAGGGAGAGAGAGAACATGGGTGAGTGAGGGAGAGAGAGAACATGGGTGAGTGAGGGAGAGAGAGGGAGAACATAGGTGAGTGAGGGAGAGAGAGAACATAGGTGAGCGAGGGAGAGGGTGAACATAGGTGAGTGAGGGAGAGAGTGAGAGAACATAGGTGAGTGAGGGAGAGACAGAACATAGGTGAGTGAGGGAGAGAGAGAGAACATAGGTGAGTGAGCGATAGAGAGAGAGAGAGAACATAGGTGAGCGAGGGAGAGGGTGAACATAGGTGAGTGAGGGAGAGAGTGAGCGAACATAGGTGAGTGAGGGAGAGACAGAACATAGGTGAGTGAGGGAGAGAGAGAACATAGGTGAGTGAGGGAGAGACAGAACATAGGTGAGTGAGGGAGAGACAGAACATAGGTGAGCGAGGGAGAGACAGAACATAGGTGAGTGAGGGAGAGACAGAACATAGGTGAGCGAGGGAGAGAGAGAACATAGGTGAGTGAGGGAGAGACAGAACATAGGTGAGTGAGGGAGAGAGAGAACATAGGTGAGTGAGGGAGAGAGAGAACATAGGTGAGTGAGGGAGAGAGAGAACATAGGTGAGCGAGGGAGAGAGAGAACATAGGTGAGTGAGGGAGAGAGAGAGAACATAGGTGAGTGAGGGAGAGAGAGAACATGGGTGAGTGAGGGAGAGAGAGAACATGGGTGAGTGAGGGAGAGAGAGAACATGGGTGAGTGAGGGAGAGAGAGAACATGGGTGAGTGAGGGAGAGAGAGAATATAGGTGAGTGAGGGAGAGATAGACAGAACATAGGTGAGTGAGGGAGAGAGAGAGAACATAGGTGAGTGAGGGAGAGAGAGAACATAGGTGAGTGAGGGAGAGAGAGAACATAGGTGAGTGAGGGAGAGAGAGAGCATAGGTAAGTGAGGGAGAGAGAGAGAACATAGGTGAGCGAGAGAGAGAGAGAGAGAACATAGGTGAGCGAGGGAGAGGGTGAACATAGATGAGTGAGGGAGAGAGTGAGAGAACATAGGTGAGTGAGGGAGAGAACATAGGTGAGTGAGGGAGAGAGAGAACATGGGTGAGTGAGGGAGAGAGAGAATATAGGTGAGGGAGAGATAGACAGAACATAGGTGAGGGAGAGACAGAACATAGGTGAGTGAGGGAGAGAGAGGGTGAACATAGGTGAGTGAGGGAGAGAGAGGGTGAACATAGGTGAGTGAGGGAGAACATAGGTGAGTGAGGGAGAGAGAGAGAACATAGGTGAGTGAGGGAGAGAGAGAGAACATAGGTGAGTGAGGGGGAGAGAGGGTGAACATAGATGAGTGAGGGAGAACATAGGTGAGTGAGGGAGAGAGAAAGAGAACATAGGTGAGTGAGGGAGAGAGAGAGAGAACATAGGTGAGTGAGTGAGGGAGAGAGAGAGAGAGAGAACATAGGTGAGTGAGTGAGGGAGAGAGAGAGAAAGAGAACATAGGTGAGTGAGGGAGAGAGAGAGAGAACATAGGTGAGTGAGGGAGAGAGAGAGAACATAGGTGAGTGAGGGAGAACATAGGTGAGTGAGGGAGAGAGAAAGAGAACATAGGTGAGTGAGGGAGAGAGAGAGAGAACATAGGTGAGTGAGTGAGGGAGAGAGAGAGAGAGAGAACATAGGTGAGTGAGTGAGGGAGAGAGAGAGAAAGAGAACATAGGTGAGTGAGGGAGAGAGAGAGAGAACATAGGTGAGTGAGGGAGAGAGAGAGAACATAGGTGAGTGAGGGAGAACATAGGTGAGTGAGGGAGAGAGAAAGAGAACATAGGTGAGTGAGGGAGAGAGAGAGAGAACATAGGTGAGTGAGTGAGGGAGAGAGAGAGAGAGAGAGAGAGAACATAGGTGAGTGAGAGAGAGAGAGAGATCGAACATAGGTGAGTGAGTGAGAGAGAGAGATCGAACATAGGTGAGTGAGGGAGAGAGAGAGAGAGATCGAACATAGGTGAGTGAGGGAGAGAGAGAGAGAGATCGAACATAGGTGAGTGAGGGACTTTCTACCCCCCGAGAGGCAGAAAATATCTAACTGGTCAGATATTCACCTCAGCGTGTTGTGAGGCAGAAAACTCAGAGAAAATCAGGCGCACATGAGAGCAATCTGCTGAGCAAACGGTCATTCGAGGCCGTTTGCTCAGCAGATTGCTCTCATGTGCAGCAGGATTAAGGTGTCTCTTCCCATGCAAGAGTCTCTCACGGAGCTGACCAGCATGCTGTGAATCTGGGCCCTTTAGCATCCAACATGAAGACCACCATCAGAAATTTGGGAGTACAACTGGACTCAGCCCTTAAATTTGACGCGCAAATCAACCAGGTTGTGCGATCGTGTTTTTTTAACTTACGCCGACTAGCCAGAATTAGCCCCTGCTGTCCAGAGTACATCTAGAGAATGTCACACATGCTTTTGTTCTTTAAGGCTCGACTACTGCAATGCTCTGTATGCCCGCCTTAGTCAGGGTGCGGTAGCACGCTTGCAGTTAGTACAAAACTCAGCCGCTAGGTTCGTGACAGGCACTAGGCGCAGGGAACATATCACCCCTGTGTTGGCATCCCTTCATTGGCTGCCTGTGCAATCCAGGGCAAAATTCAAGGTCTTGGTGCTGGCATACAAGGCCTTACATGGAACGGCTCCAGCATATCTTGGCAACCTTTTGCATAGACACGCCCCCTCGCGGGCCCTTCGCTCAGCCGGCAGGGAGCTGTTGATCGTTCCACGCACTAGTGCAGGTCGGGGGAACCGTGCGTTCTCTGTGTTGGCACCTGCACTTTGGAACCAGTTGCCTTTGGTGGTGCGTCAGTCACCCTCATTGGGGTTTTTAAGACTCTCCTTAAGACCCATTTTTTTGTCAAGGCATTCCAGGATTAGCAAATTTTACCCGGTTTCGATGCCCCGGCCTCTTAATCTTTTTCGGGATTTTATTTTTTGCTTTTACTCTCCTCTTTTAATTGATTTTATGCTGGTTTTATGATTGTTATATTTTATTCTGATGGTTTTATGTTTTTATTGTGTTGTGTTCAGCAGCTTGGGCGTCTGCATTGGTCGCAGAAGGGGCTTTATAAATAAATAAATGAAATGAACGAACTAGGCTTCAGAGCGGGGTTTTAGTGAGGGTTAGTGCAGACAGCCTGCCTTGGCAATGCAGGACAACTGTGCATGTTTTGTTATTTAATACATCTGAAAGCTGTTTCTACTGTCAGACTCCCTCTTAGCATTTGTGGAGTAGAACAAGAACATCCATGCTTTCGTTCTTTTTTAAACACAGAAACAGTTTTGTTTACCTGTTTGTAGCTACAGTTTCGCTGCCGGCTTCTTCAGGCTGACGCTGATGGTGGCGCGTCACTTCCTTCTCCATTTATCTGCGGGCAGCAGAGGACGTTGTCACCCTCTACTGCCCGCTCTCCCCTCTCCGACGATGCAGTCCCATGCACGATCTAATGAGTAAACCCCATCGTCTCTGTTCATGGTCCCACATCCACGTCTCCTTATCTCGATTGCTTCCTTGATCCATCTTTTGTATTTTTGTTGTTCGGTGGTTATGATCCGTGTGTTGTCCCAGTCCATTATATGGTTTTCTCTTAAGCAATGATCTGTTACGGTTGACTTCTTTATTGTACTTTCTGCTTCTTCTTTTGCTGCTCTTGTGTGTTTACGATTTGCCTCTTTCTCGCACTCCTTTCTGTGTTCTATTGTCCGTGTATTGAGTTGACGTCCGGTTTCTCCTATGTATTGCCGAGAAAGAGGCAAATCGTAAACACACAAGAGCAGCAAAAGAAGAAGCAGAAAGTACAATAAAAAAGTCAGCGTAACAGATCATTGCTTAAGAGAAAACCATATAATGGACTGGGACAACACACGGATCATAAACACTGAACAACAAAAATACAAAAGATGGATCAAGGAAGCAATCGAGAAAAGGAGACGTGGATGTGGGACCATGAACAGGGACGACGGAGTTTACACGCTGGACCACGCATGGGACTGCATCGTCGGAGAGGGGAGAGCGGGCAGTAGCGGGCGACAACGTCCTCTGCTGCCCGCAGATAAACGGAGAAGGAAGTGACGCGCCACCATCAGCGTCAGCCTGAAGAAGCCGGCAGCCGTCGGCGAAACTGTAGCTACAAACAGGTAAACAAAACTGTTTCTGTGTTTAAAAAAGAACGAAAGCATGGATTTAGAAAGACACAGCAAGAACACACATAAGAAGAACAAGAACATGTTCTTATAAAGCACCTCCCTAGATACAAACCACACGGTGCTTCACAAGCACATAAAAAAGATAATGGGAGAAAATATTAATAGCGTAAACTGTTTTATTGTATGAGTAGATAGTAAATGTTAATGTGAGTGAATTGTTGTACTAGAGTAGAGTCTAGACCATCTTTACACTTGATCTGCAGGATGGCTTGGCCGGCTCGTGTTGGACCTTTGTTTGCAGAAAGTCATGAAATGAAGTGAAATCACAATTTCTGCTAGAAAAATTACAATTCAATCTTTTCCTAAAATCAGTCAGCCCTAGCGCCTCAAGATAAAAATCACGAGACGTTACACAAAAACAAAAAATTAAAATATAAAAAACGATAAAAAAAAGATAAATATGTTTAAAAATGAGAGAAAATTGTGATTTAAAATGTAAGAAAAAGGAGACAGAAAATGAATGGGAAAGAGGGGAATCAGTGGATCCCGGGAAAGACGGAATAAGAGCAGAACAAGGAGAGGGTGATGAAGGTCCCACCAAACCTGAACAGGTGAGTTTAAAGGAGACCACTGAGTCCACTGATCTCAGGCTCAGGGAGAGAGAGGTCCAGAGTCTGGGGGCTACAGCAGCAGATGATCTGTCACCTTTGGTCTTTAGCCTGGTGCTGCACAACAGTAGGCTTTGGTCACTGGACCTCAGGGACCTGCTGGGGGTGTAGGGACTAAGAAGATCACCAATGTAAGATGGTGCTTGTCCATGTAAGGCCCTATAGACCAGAACCAGGATCTTGAAATGAACCCTGAAGTTGACTGGCAGCCAGTGAAGCTGGAGGAGAAGCGGGGTGATGTGGGTGTGTTTGGAGGACTTGGTCAGAAGCCGAGCACAGGCGTTCTGAACCACCTGTAGACGGTTCAGGGAGGTTCTGCTCAGACACGTGAAAAGAGAGTTACAGTAGTCTAAGCGTGAGGAGATGAAGGTGTGGAGAACTGTCTCAAGTTCAGAGCGGGACAGTTTTGTTTTTTTATAAAACTGGAACCATTTTGTTGACTAAAACTAAGATGCCCGCCAAAAACAACACAGATCAGTTAGCACCAGAACAGCCACCAAGCAATCCAACCTTTGTCTGATGTTTCTCCAGCCTCTCACACGCCGTACAAGTGGGACTACTGGCCCCACGACGACGTCCGGGCTGAGTGTCGCTTCGTGGGCCTCACCAACCTGGGAGCAACCTGCTACCTGGCCTCCACCATCCAGCAGCTCTACATGATCCCTGAGGCCCGGCAGGCTGTCTTCACGGCTAAGGTCAGTGCTGACAGCCCAGTGGGAGTCCAGAAGAAAGCATTATACATGAAATCTGTGTGTGTGTGTGTGTGTGTGTCTCATCTGGTGCACGTCTGTGTGTGTGTGTTCAGTATTTGGAGGAGATCAAACACAAAACCACACTGCTGGAACTGCAGAAGATGTTCACGTACCTCATGGTAGGTTTTACATCCACACGTGCAACGTGTTTGTTTGGTGTGTTAACAGAAATTACAGTTACACCGCCACAGATTAGTCAACTCTCAGCTAAGTATTACTTAAAATAAGGTAACGATGTTGACAGATGTCCTAAAATAATAACGTTAAACTTTAAGTTGATATGTAGCGTCGCCAAGTAATACAAAAGGTTCAGGTCAAAGAGAATAAGGTATGTCCTCATATGTGGACGCAGGCTCTCAGGAGGTAAAGACCAGATGGTTTCCCTCTCAACGGTTACCGTGGTAACGCTCCCTGCAGTTGGTATGTCAGGTTTTATGTTGAAACCACGATCCACACCAGGTCTGCCAAGGCAACAGCCCCACGCTCCGCTAGGGGATGTCAGCAGCTGCTAGCTAGCCAAAGCGAACCAAGAGTCTGCGTGAACGATCGTGTTCGGCTGATATTTGAGCTGATTGGTCGGCTCCAACAAGCTCCTATAAACACAGAAGAGTTCAGGACCTAAGGAGCATATTCTCCTTCAGCTGTCTTCAGGGCTTACTCGTCACATTTGTCAATCAGTGACACGTTTGACAGAACTGTTTGGGTTCGGTAACGACCCGGATGAGCGGCAGGATTTAGTCCCTTAATCATGAAGCTCATTAGTTCTTTCCAACTGTGAGAGATTAAATACACATTTACTGCTGAATAGTAACACTACTACTGTTCCTAGTACTAGCACTACAACCACATCAATGATACGGTACCGTCCTTGTGTGTTCAGGAGAGTGAGAGGAAAGCGTACAACCCACGGCCATTTTGTAAAACCTACACGATGGACAAGCAGCCGCTCAACACGGGCGAGCAGAAAGACATGACCGAGTTTTTCACCGACCTCATCACTAAGATAGAGGAGATGTCCCTGGAGCTGGTAAGGATGCATCGCTCTGGATTAATCAGGGTTCAACTCGGGTCAACGCTTTAGTCGTTGTGTGTGTGTGTGTGTGCAGAAAAACACAGTCAAGACTTTGTTTGGAGGTGTCATCACCAACAACGTTGTCTCTCTGGTGAGTAGAAGACTTCAGTGAAATGTTGCTTTGGTCGTGTGTCAGTGGGTCATTAGTCTCTCTGGTTGGACGGACCCTGATTCATCGGTGTTTGTGAAGGCAGCTCCGATTAAAGAGGTCATTGTTGTCCTCTCATGTTGAACCGTTTAGTTCCAATGTTTTTAAACGTGATCCCACCTCCTGATAAAAACCGTTCCTTTCTCTGGCCTGGTCAAGATGTGGTGCAGTTGCAATCGTTCTGGTGTAAAACCCTAAAAACGAGATCTGGATGTTTTTTGTTGGTGCTTTTATGAATTGAAGTAGGAAAATGAAAGATCCGAGGTGAAGTTGTTCAGATAGTGTGTGCTGGTGAAGCTTCTCGGTCATCCAGGTCATGGTAATGAAGGCAACTGGACTTATTTGGTTTCTTGAAGACGTTTTGCTTCTCATCCGAGGAGCTTCATCAATTCTGACTGGAATATGGGAGAGTCAGGTTTTTAAGCTGTAGCTGTCTGTTGTTTAACCAGATAGTTTAGTTTGTTTGGCACAACTTGTGAAATGGAAATTAGCCCTGTGTGGTGAACATACCCTGTTCTCACAGCATGTAGCTACATGTAGCTAGCAGCTAACGGCACGTAGCTGCATGTGGCTAACAGCACTTAGCTGCGTGTGGCTAGCAGCTATCGGCACGTAGCTGCATGTGGCTAATGGCACGTAGCTGCGTGTGGCTAGCAGCTAACGGCACGTAGCTGCATGTGGCTAACAGCACTTAGCTGCGTGTGGCTAGCAGCTATCGGCACGTAGCTGCATGTGGCTAATGGCACGTAGCTGCGTGTGGCTAGCAGCTAACGGCACGTAGCTGCATGTGGCTAACGGCACTTAGCTGCGTGTGGCTAGCAGCTATCGGCACGTAGCTGCATGTGGCTAATGGCACGTAGCTGTATGTGACTAGCAGCTAACGGCACGCAGCTCCGTGTGGCTAGCAGCTAACGGCACGCAGCTCCGTGTGGCTAGCAGCTAACGGCACGCAGCTCCGTGTGGCTAGCAGCTAACGGCACGCAGCTCCGTGTGGCTAGCAGCTAACGGCACGTAGCTCCGTGTGGCTAGCAGCTAACGGCACGTAGCTCCGTGTGGCTAGCAGCTATCGGCACGTAGCTGCGTGTGGCTAGCAGCTAACGGCACGTAGCTGCATGTGGCTAACAGCACGTAGCTGCATGTGGCTAACAGCACGTAGCTGCATGTGGCTTGCAGCTAACGGCATGTTTAGGCTAGCCACGCTAGGCTCACCTGATTATACGGCGCACAGCCAATCAGCGTCCTAGTTAAAGGTTTGGTCCACACATGAGGCTCACTGGATCAAAACACGCACCCAGGAAAGTAAACGAGCGTCCTGGTCGGCACAATTAAGGCAAATTGGGCAATTAGATCAAAGTTAAACGTTACTCCACTCATTATCTATACTAAAAAATAAATTTCTCATTAATAAAGTAACTTTTAGTCCCAAGTTAATGCACGGCTGCTTTTAGCAGCAAGAATGAAGATTTAAACTCTGGTAATGGCATGACTGACTGAACGCAGCGCTAAGCCCCTCTTACCGCTGCAGGACAGAGGAGCCGAGTCGGCCAGAGATAAAGCATTATGTGCGGCCATTGTGTGGCTGTAATGACCCGGGAGCCGAGCAGAGAAGTCAGAGAAGAAGGAGTTGGATCAAAATCAAACTTTATTCCTCTCATTCACAATAGGGGGTACCGCGCTGGGCCAGAGTTACCGGTACCATAATACATGTATAAAAGGCGCACTGCCGGTTGAGGGGGAGATTAAAGGTTTTTAATGGCGCCTCATGGTGCGGAAAATACGGCATATCGAGCATCCCTAGTATAAAGGTTAAAGTTCTTTTAACGTTTTTGAGCCTTTCACTGAACCTGAGAGTTGTTTGGCTTAAGCTCTGGCTTTGCTTCAGGATTGTGACCACGTCAGCCAGACGGCTGAGGAGTTTTACACGGTCAGATGTCAGGTGGCAGACATGAAGAACATCTATGTGAGTACGAAGCCAGCTTCAGGCAAAATCCACCCCAGTACTCCGGGTCTAACCCAGGTCTGTCTGCAGGAGTCTCTGGATGAAGTGACCATCAAAGACACCCTGGAGGGGGACAACATGTACACCTGCTCTCAGTGTGGTAAGAAAGTCCGAGCAGAGAAAAGGTAGGAAGCGTTAAACTCACAATTACAGGAAATAAGTCACGTGTTCCGAAGGCTCCATCTCTCTCAACTCAGAGCATGTTTCAAGAAGCTGCCGCGCATCCTGAGCTTCAACACCATGAGGTACACCTTCAACATGGTGACCATGATGAAGGAGAAGGTCAACACCCACTTCTCCTTCCCCCTGCGTCTGGATATGACGCCGTACACCGAGGACTTCCTCATGGGCAAAGGAGAGCACAAAGAGGGTGTGTTCCAACTCCGCCAGTAGTCGGGCTTTTCTGGACAAGAGACACATTCACGCCGTAAACTTCTGGTTCGGAGTCATGATCATAAATCCTGCTGTTTTCCGCCTTCAGGCTTTCGGGAGGAAGGCGATAGTAAAGGCCCCGGGAGCTACGAGTACGACCTCATTGGCGTCACCGTCCACACGGGCACGGCTGACGGCGGCCATTACTACAGCTTCATCAGAGACATCATTAACCCCCACGCCTACAAGAATAACAAGTGGTGAGAGATTAGTTCTTCGTTGTTCTACCAGAAGCATGCGGCGGAGTTGTCCGGGTGGTGTTGGCTCCGTAAATCTGCTAATGTGTTACCAAACACACGCTGTAGTAGGGGAAACGCTCACGAGGAGCTTCCTCTATACGCTGCTGTGTAACACCTCCAGGTACCTGTTCAACGATGCGGAGGTGAAGCCCTTCGACTCGGCTCAGCTGGCCTCTGAGTGCTTCGGTGGAGAGATGACGGTACCAGCCGCTAACAGCTAAATCTGATGTAGTGCACACTTCTAAATGAAGTTCTAGCCAACAACACTTTGTTTCCTCCCTTTAGACCAAAACCTACGACTCTGTTACTGACAAGTTCATGGACTTCTCCTTTGAGAAGGTGAGAAGAACCCCCAGTGTAGGTCAATGTGAGGTGTTTGTGGAGCTGAGCTGATTGTTGGTGGTCTCTCAGACACACAGCGCCTACATGCTCTTCTACAAGAGGGTGGAGCTGGAGGAGGACAACGGGAAGGACTTCAGTTTCGATGTGTCTCCTGATCTCCTCGAGGTACTTTGGATGTTTTTTCTGTGGAAGAGTGACTCGATGTGTTCACGTTTGGGTCTGCCACGTTTGTCTTCCAGTGGATTTGGCACGACAACATGCAGTTCCTGCAGGATAAGAACATCTTCGAACACACGTACTTTGGGTGGGTGTGACTCCTGTTTGTCTCACGGTGCTCCAGACTTGGCTTCTCTGTTTCACCTTTGACCCTGACTTGGTTTCAGGTTCATGTGGCAGCTGTGCGGCAGCATCCCCAGCACTCTGCCGGACCCTAAAGCCGTCTCGCTCATGACTGCCAAGGTGAGACGCTCCACACCACCTTTCATGACCTGCAACCGTCTTATGTTGAGGAATCGAGTTTTAGTCCAGTTTAACGCACGACGTTGACCTTTGACGTGCAGCGGAGACTTGGTCAGAGCAGATATATAGCTAACAGCTAAATCCATGATCCCTGCCAGCCCAAAGGCAGTCCGCTGCAGTGGATCAATAATCAGTTAGCAGGTGTGGAGCAGCCAGCCCAGACGGCGGGATTGTTGGGTTTTGGCTGCATGAGAATGGAAAGCTGTAACCTTGAAGGATGTGCCACAGTGGAAATCTGGTCAGAATAACTAGAACACGTTTGTAGACCGCTGTGGTAGGGTTCGATGTCAGGAGGAGGCCTGCAGCCTCCCTCCTGATCCTGCTGGTGGGTGACCTCTGACCTTAGCCTGGTGTTTAGTGGCACTGAAGCAGCCCTACCACTGCCACTGCAAGATCGTTTTGAATTCTTAATACGACTGAAGGGTGAAAGGTCGTTCAGTGGGATGACCTCATGCAAATACGCAGCAGTGTGACCCTAGATCCCTCTGAAGAAACTTTCAGACAGGAAAGGTGAACCGAAAGAGCATGAAGATCCCCCACACTCTTAGCCCATGCTAGGGCTAAGAGCAGGGCTGTCTTAAGGGTTAGAAGCTTCGTGCTGATCAATTCAATGGGCTCAAATGGGGGACACTATAGGGCCTCACTCTGCGAACCCCTTTCATGAACCGAACAGCCAAAGGGTGAGCGCCAGGAGAAACTCCATTAAAAGATTCATGGCGAGCAGAAATGGCTGCCAGGTAGAGCTTTAAAGTGGAGAAAGACAAGCCCCTGTCCAGCAAGTCCTGTAGGAAAGACAGACGGTCTTCAGTGGAGCTCTGTGAGAGAACTACTGACCTGCTCAGACACCATAGCTCAGAAGCTTTCCACTTGTAGGCATATAAACCCCTAGTGGAGCATGCTCTAGAGCTCTGAATAGTATTCACCTCAGCCGGGGGAAGACCTTGAGCTAACAGTTGGACCTTTCAGTAGGCATGAATGCAGCTTCCACAAATGTGGACGAGGGTGCAGCATCTCCCCTTGAGCCTGAGACAGAAGGTCCTGTCTGGTAGGGAGCCTCCATGGGGGTGGGGGTGGGGGGGTGGGTTGCTGCTATCATCAGGCTGATGATCTCTTTGTGGGCCACTGAGGGGCCACCAAAATCAGAGACAGGCTCGACCTGCGCACTCTCTCCAATACTGCCAGAATCAGTTCCACTGGAGGAAAAGCGCAGAGGAGAACTTTGGGCCGAGGGTGCGCCAAAGCGTCCAATCCCATTCGAGTTATTTGATCCGTTAAGAAGAAGAACAGGGGGCGGTGTTGCGGTTGACGCAAACAGATCCACTACTGCCCTGCCGAACCTCCGACAGATCTGGGACACCACCTCGGGGTGAAGCCTCCATTCAGCTGACAGAGGTCCACCCCTGGAAAGGAAGTCTGCCCCGTGGTTGAGGGAACCGAGGCCATGAGCTACTCTGAGAGACAGGACATTGCACCAGTGCAGCGATGTGTGGGTCAGATTAAGTAGAGGAAGAGAGCGTGTTCCCCCCCGGCCTGTTTACATGTGACCCCACAGTCGTGTTGTCTAGCACATGCTGTCCTCCCAGGTGATGACTGAAGTGTTTCAGGGCCAGAAACACCAGTGGACTCGGTGGTCTCCTTTAAAAAGCAGCTGAATACTCACCTGTTCAGGCTTATGTGTGACCTTCATCGCCACCCTCTCTTTATTCGGCTCCTATTCCGCCTCCACTGATTTCCCTCTTTCCTGTTCGTGTTCTCTCTCCCTTGAGAGCGGCTGATCTGAAGCCACGCTCGCCCTAGAGGATCTGTTTTTAATGCTTTGTTTTCTTCTCATCCACAGCTCAGCACATCTTTTGTCCTGGAGACATTCATCCACTCTAAAGAGAAGGTAGTGTGTGGAGGTTTTCTCTCAGCCTTTGGTCTCTGCTGCTCTCTAACTGTTGGTCCGGCTCTGCTCCTCCAGCCCACCATGCTGCAGTGGATCGAACTTCTCACTAAGCAGTTCAACAACAGCCAGGCTGCCTGTGAGGTCTGGACTCTAGCCACCTGGTTTTCTTCAGATAAGGGGTCCTGTTACAGAAACGTGACGGGAACGCTAACGGTGGGGTTGTTTCTGTTCCAGTGGTTTTTGGATCGGATGGCAGATGATAACTGGTGGCCCATGCAGATCCTCATCAAGTGCCCTAACCAGATTGTCAGACAGGTCTGTTATTTGTCGTCCATTCATGATTACATGGTTGAGCCAAATCTACAGAACCAACCAGGCCTAGCTGTTCTATACCTGAAGCATTGTCTAACCCTGCAGGCTCAGGTCCTGGTTGGTCCTCTTCAGGTTCATCATCCAATCAGAGCTTAAATTGGCACCAGCCTGCATTCTGTGCCTAAGGAGAAATGGAAAACAGAGCGTGGTAGACATGTAACACCTTCTCTAACTTCCAGATGTTCCAGAGGTTGTGTATCCATGTCATCCAGAGGTTACGACCCGTTCACGCTCATCTCTACCTGCAGCCCGGCATGGAGGATGGGTATGTCTCTCCTCAGTCTTCAGTAGTTGTTATTTTTGAGCCACCGAAGGTGTGCGGTACCAACGCGGAGTGTTGTACTCGTGAATGATGGTGGCTACAGAAATCCACACGCCGGGTGTGTGACTCGGTGCCTCGGACACGGCGCAACTGAAACCTGTGTCTGAAACATCCTGGACATGTGAAGAAGGCCTCTGACTCGCAGGACCTTTTCTGTCTGTGCTCAGCTCGGACGACATGGATGGAACGGTGGAGGACATTGGGAGCCGGTCCTGTGTCACCCGCTTTGTGAAGACCCTCCTGTCCATCATGGAGCACGGCGTGAAGCCACACAGCAAACACCTGACGGAGTACTTCGCTTTCCTCTATGAGTTTGCCAAGATGGGAGAGGAGGAGGTCAGTCTGAACCTGCACCAGCTGTTTCTGGGTCTCACTTATGGTAGACTTGAGTTCTCTAGGATTGATGAGCTATCAGCTAATGCTATGCTAGAGAACAACCCATAGTTCCATATAAACAGCCATATTTATATGGTAAACCCAGGTGACAGGAGCTGATTCAACACGCAGCAGTGCTAGTAATGCAGGGTCTAACCGGTTTACCGTTGATATGATTTAAATTTAGCCGCTAGTAGAGATTCTGACTCTACCGTCCAACCGCGACTGGACATGAATTTTGTTGAGTCAACTTCGGACAAGTGCAGTGGCTGCTTGAGCGTGTGTGTGAAGACTAGGGTTGGGCATCCAGCACTAACTGTCGGGTTTTCCCGGAATCGTTCAGAGTTTTTTATTAAGATTGGTAGTTTTGTTTCCTAGTATGCCGACTGGAAGAGGAATCTGCAGCTGATCTCCGTGGGAAAAAAACGTGATCTGCAAATTCTGATCAACGCCTTTCAGAGCGGATCACACCAGCTGTCTGTCGCTCCTACCCTGCGTCCCGCAGAGACCCCGATGGCAGCATTGCGTTTCCCTCCCCTCCCCCACTCCGTGCAGCAGCAAACGTGTACACAAACGCGTCTGTCGAACTTTTACTCCACGATGTAAACTTGAATTCCTACTGTGAAAAAAAAAAAACGGCGCAGAGGAAGATTGTTAAAATGTGTCAACGTGGTGGATTTCAGAAGTTTTACAGAACAAACTCTTTCATGAAGCTTCGTAGGGCAGACTGATCTGATCCTGACCATCCATCAGCTGGACTGAGGGTGATATTAACGTCACCCGCTATGATGAGGGCCCCTGCTAATCTATGTTTATGTATTTAGCAGACGCTTTTGTCCAACACGACTTACAAGTGATAATCGGCATGTTGCCCTTGAGGCTAACAACAACAACAACAACAACTTGACATCAGTCATGGAGAGGAGGGAACAAGGAGAGGACAGTAGAGAGGGGGGACGGGTGCAGGGAAGGAGCTAGTTTAGAAGATGCTCTCTGAAGAGCAGGGTCTTCAGGAGTTTCTTGAAAATTGAAAAGGAAGCCGCTGTTCTGGTAGTGCTTGGAAGGTCATTCCACATTTGTGGAACGATGCATGAGAAGAGTCTGGATTGTCCTGAGCGTGGTGTAGGCACTGCTAGCCGACCATCCTGTGATGACCGGAGCGGCCGGGCCGAGACGTAAGCCTTTGCAAGAGGATTCAGGTAGATGGGAGCCGTACCATCTCGGACTGTGTATGCTATTGTTAGCAGTTTGAATTTGATGCGTGCTGCTAGCGGTAGCCAGTGGAGCTCAATGAACAGAGGGGTGACGTGTGCTCTTTTAGGCTGATTGAAGACCAGACGCGCCGCTGCGTTCTGGACCATTTGAAGAGGTCTCACAGTACAGCCTGGAAGACCAGTTAGAAGGGCGTTGCAGTAATCGAGGCGGGAGATGACAGTAGATTGCACCAGGAGCTGGGTGGCATGTTGTGTTAGGTATGGTCTGATCTTTCGTATGTTATACAGCACAAAGCGGCACGAACGAGCAACAGAGGCAACATGATCTTTAAAGGTCAGGTGTTCATCAATCACAACACCCAGATTTCCAACTGCCTTTGAAGGAGCCAGAGACAGGAAGTCATTTTGGATTGAGATATTGTGCTGTATGGATGGTTTTGCTGGGATGACAAGTAGTTCAGTTTTAGAGAGGTTGAGTTGGAGACGGTGGGATTTCATCCATTTTGATATGTTAGAGAGACAGTTTGATATTCGTGCAGAGACAGTGTGGTCGTCCGGTGGAAATGACAGATAGAGCTGGGTGTCGTCTGCATAGCAGTGGTAGGAGAAGCCATGTGATCGAATGATCTCACCCAGTGAGGTGGTGTATATGGCAAAGAGAAGAGTTCCTAGTACAGAGCCCTGGGGGACTCCTGTGGCAAGATGGTGCACGGTAGAGGACTGTCCAAGCCAAGATACACTGAATGAGGTCCTGTGAGGTACGATTCAAACCAGGCATGTGCTTTCTCTGTGATGCCCATGCTAGAGTGTGGACAAAAGGAAGCCATGGTTGACCGTGTCAAATGCAGCCGATAAGTCGAGCAGGATAAGCGCTGAGGATTTGGCAGTCGCTCTAGCTTCTTTTAAGGATTCAGTCACTGCTAACAGAGCAGTTTCAGTGGAGTGGCCCTTTTTGAACCCAGATTGGTAAGGGTCAAGCAGACAGTTTTGTGAGAGGTATTCTGTGATCTGCTTGAAAGCCGCCCTTTCAATGATTTTGGACAGAAAATGGAGGAGAGAGATAGGTCGGTAGTTCTCCACATGATTTGGAGGAAGAGATGTTTTTTAAGCAGCGGTTTAACCTGAGCATGCTTGAGAGAGGTGGGAAATGTACCGGATGTCAGTGAAGCGTTGATCACGTGTGACTGCTGCGGCTACTGTAGGAGCAATAGCTTGGAGCAGCTTAGTCGGAATGGGATCAAGTGGGCATGTAGTAGAGCGGCTGCACGTGAGAAGCTTGGACACACAGTTCTCAGTGAGAGGGGAAAAATGTAGCAAATGAAAGAAATAGTTGTTGATAAAATCCAGAGTCGTCTGTATTAGGACCATATACATTTATCAGATTAAAGTTTTCGAGCAGTAAGGACGATTAGATATCAACTTTTTTATCTGTGATGACACTTTTTACTTGAAATGGAGTCGATTCATGGATCAAGGTCATAACCCCTCTTGCCCTGGTCATGAATGCTGATGTAAGTATCTTTCCACGCCACCTCCTCCTAATCGTCTTCTCATCTTCTTCCATTAGTCTCTCGTAGGAATATTATCTTAGTCCATATCTTCTGGTTTAGTTATCAAGTGTTTAACCTTTTGAGCTTTCTGTAGTCCCTCGCAGTTCCATGTAACAAAGTTGACATTTAGTGTTTTGGACAGATGAGGTTTTTTAAACATTAGTGCCAAATGATAAGAAATACCGTCTGGGTTACAGCGATTTGTTAAGAGCATCAGAACAATCCAGGATACAAGAACAAGGATCCTCTCCCTTGAACATAGACCCAAACAACCCTGTTGAATCCTCCTGTTAGAGAGTCCCTCCCGCAACTGTAAACCTCCAGGTATCACTCACGACATCACGTATAACCCCCACCGCCACCAACCCAACGCCTTAACTTCCGTTTGTTGTCTTTGAGTCTTAAATTAGTTTCTGACTTCAGATCATAATTCTATACAAGTGCCATTTAGATCAATTATCCTAAGATGATGGTGACTTACTGGAATATAGAGACTGGAAGCATAGTTCAGATGGGTACTGGTAGCAGCACTTCCTCTTCCATATCTTTCTGGATCTTTTTTTACAAACTCCCGCACCTCCACTGCTGTTGTAAAGGAATGAGTTTGCTCCTTATAGATCACCAAAAGTCTAGCCCGGTATGCCACCGCGTGACGTAATCCCAACGTGCATAGCTCCATTCGGATGGGATCAAACTGCTTCCAAAGCTGATGTAGTCCAGTTGCAATGTCTGGGTGAATCCGTACATGTTGATTTTGGAGTCGGATGTCACCTTTTGCTCTTTCTGCTGTCATAATCAACTGTTTCAGCGTGAGGAGTTTCATTATTAAGGTGCGAGGATGTACGTCGCCATCCTTTTCTGCCTCTGACTCTGTGGGCCCTTTCTATAGTTAAATTTCTTATCTTTTCACATGGCTGCCATTACCGCAAGTCCCTACCGAATAGTTGTAACCTGTGTCTGTTTTCGTAGTTTTTACCAATGTCTTTGCCAGTGTTCAGCACTTCAGTCTGTTGTAATGCTGTGTTTAAAGTAGAGATCGACCCATTTTGGTTTTTCTATTGCTGATACCAATATGTAGGAGACATGGTTGGCCAATGGCCGATGTGTACCACCGATTTTCATGGGCCATATTTCATGGCCGATATCTAGACATTTTCCACCTTATTTTTATGCTTAAATGTCACAAATAACATCAATTGATGCACACAATTTCAGAAACTGAATCAGTTTTTGGACTCTGAATTTAACCAACTGTTATATCTTGAGTTCACCTTCTCAGTGGCCTAGTGGTAGTGTCGGCCCTGGGACTGGGAGATCGGGGTTTGGGTCATACCAAAGACTTTAAAAATGGAACCCAGTGCCTCCCTGCTCGACTCTCAGCATTTAAGGGGTTGGATTGGGGGTTAAACCACGGTTCCCGAGCGCCACCTTGTCTGCAGCTCACCGCTTCCCCAGGAGATGGGTCAAATGCGGAGAACAAATTCCACACAGCGGTGTGACAGCTAATGGGACTTTAACTTAACTTTGTGGACTGCTTGGTGTTAAAGTCAGACACCTAAATAAAGTTAATTTAGAGTATTTATTATGCATATGTATTTAGTGAACGTAAAAATACATTTAGATTAAATAGCACCGGGCTGCACGAGGATGAGCCTGACTAAATCAGCTTTACTAAGGACAAATGCCAATATATATATATATATATATATATATATATATATATATATATATATATATAAAATAAAAGGTAAACACTGGCTAATCGAGCCCTAGGTTGTAGTTGGCAACAAGATGGCGCCTGTGCTTGGCTTAGCCGCGGTCACCGGCCACTTACGTGTTTTATGATCACAGCAATTAACCGGCTAAGCTGTATTTAATTTTTAAGCAATGGTTGATCAATTGTCAGATCACACATAAAAAGCACTTTGGATTGCTATCATCTGTCTCACAGAGACAGAGATTTTATTCATGGAAAAAAATCAGACTAGTGATTTCTCTTGGCGTTCAGTTTATACATTCAAACAGCACAGCACTCAATTTAAACTACTTACATGTAAATCTATGTTATTTGTCCATCCATCCATCCATTTTCATCCGCTCATCCGGAGTCGGGTCGCGGGGGCAGTAGCCTAAGTTGAGAGGCCCAGACTTCCCTCTCCCCAGCCACTTGGGCCAGCTCCTCCGGGGAATCCCAAGGCGTTCCCTGGCCAGGTCCGGTAAGAAGTCCGCTCCGACAGCTTCTGGCGTTTTTAAAAGTATCCCAGGGTCACGGTAAGGGTCGGAGATGTTTAGTCTATTTATTTTCTGACTATATAAAACGATTTCTTCGGTTTTAAAGTGTGAAGTTAACTCCGACGGAGTAAAATCCAAGCCGATCCCGTTCATTTTGTTTACCTTTGTTGCCTGCCAACATGGCGTCTACTCTCTGAGAGTCACGTGACGTCCGGAGCTCTATAGCGGGTAGTCATGTTTTAGTTAGTTTGTCCTATTTTTGGGTGTTTGTGCATGTTTGTTTTGGTGAGTTGTGTTGTTCTTCGTTTTTGTTCAGGGTTGCAAATGCAGTGTTACTTGTTGTGTCCTGTTGGCCCTGTAAGTGAGGAGGTTGGTCAAAGGAATGGGACCGCTGTGCCGTTCTTTATAAAATCCAAACGTGGCTCACGCTGGAAGCTCTGGACTCGGCTCCTTGCGTTCCGCCCACACTGGCTTTCTGCAGGCTCCAGCCCAGGCTAGTCAGGGTTTTTCAGTGTGGCTGCTAGCTGTTAGCTAGCTGTTAGCTCCCTGGCACGACCGCTGCTCCTCCAATTTTAACGCTGAGAGTTAAAATTTCATTATTTAACGGCAGAAATATTGTTTCCTTTTCTACATTTTTCACTTCCGTTGAAACCGTTTAGTTTTTCATCACATTTAGCTTGTACTTTATTTAAAATAGTTTCATCTTCATTCATTTTATGATCATTTATGTGTTGCTTTGTTGAAAAAGTATAACATCAATTATTAGAGATGTAGCTTTTTTAATAAGTTTTGTACGTTAAATGTCATTCTCTCCCTTTTTACAAGTATTTGTTGTGCTGCTGCGATTCATCCGATATGTCAGAGTGTTCATTTTAACATAAATACACAGAAGAGAAGAACGTATTTATACATTTTAGACCATTTGGTCCTTTCTAAGCAACACACGCAGACTAGCTGTTAGCTCATCAGTCCTGCAGGATGTAAACTGTTTCTCTGCATCTGCATCTGTGCATTAATTGTTACCATTAAATATGAAAGGTGTGAAAGTTGAACTGTTTGTGTTTCTGTGTCCAGAGTCAGTTCCTGCTGTCCCTGCAAGCCATCTCCATCATGGTGCATTTCTACATGGGAACCAAAGGTCCTGACAATGTACGTCTAAGATCTGCCCGTGTTTCCTCCTGGACTGTAAGTAAACGACGAGTAACAACTGAGATAACAGCCTCCTGTGCAACGTCAGCCTCAGGCGGAGGTGCTGTCAGAGGAGGAGGCAGAGGAGGAGGACGAAGAGGAGGACATCTTGTCTCTGGCGGAGGAGAAATATCGTCCTGCGGCTCTAGAGAAGATGATTGCACTCATCGCTCTGCTGGTGGAGCAGTCTCGCTCTGAGAGGTACGATCCAGGATGGAGGTATGATGGAGGGAATGTTTGTCTTCTCTGTTCAGGCTGAGTCTCCGTCTCTCTGCCGTCTCCGCAGACACCTGACCCTGTCCCAGAGCGACATGGCAGCGCTGACCGGAGGGAAAGGCTTCCCCTTCCTCTTCCAGCACATCAGAGATGGAATCAACATCAGGCAAACGTGCAACCTCATCTTCAGCCTCTGTCGCTATAACAACCGTCTGGCCGAGCATGTAGGTGTCAAAGAGCAGGTTCAGGGCGGCGTTGGAGCCAGAAGGTTTGAACTAGGGGTAGACCGATATATCAGGCCGATGTTCCTCCTTAGTAAAGCCGATTAAAAGTCGGGCACATCCCCGGGCAGCTGCTGCAGAGTTTAGGATTTTTCCTTTCCTGAATAGCATCTGCTGTCATTAATGGGTTCCACCTACAATTCCTTTTAATTCACCAGTTTAGAGTATTTATTGCTTGGTCAGTTTGCTGGTTTGTTTAACTTTAGATGTCTGATTTTAACTCTGACCGGTGCAATAAGGTAAGATTTAGCCGCTGGTTAAGTTCGTTTGAGCATGAAAATGAGGTGGAAATCATGTCGATGTCGGCCTTGGAAAAAGCAACGTTGGTCGACCTCTAGTCTGAACCCTCATAAGTGTTGGAAGGTGGCACTAATGATGATGTGTGTGTTTAGATTGTGTCCATGCTCTTCACCTCCATTGCCAAGCTCACTCCTGAGGTAAACACAGATGCTCAACATTTGATCTTTTACGTGTGCAGACGAGTTCAAAGCTAAAAGCATGCTTCTGTAGGCTGCCAACCCTTTCTTCAAGCTGCTGACGATGTTGATGGAGTTTGCTGGCGGACCTCCTGGGATGCCCTCCTTCGCCTCCTACATCCTCCAAAGGATCTGGGAGGTAAATGACATCATCAGAATAAACCCACGGCCCTATGGGCTCCTGTAGCTCCTAACCCTAACCCACCAGACGTCTCAGTGACATCATAACACCTCTGGTCTGACACAAGCACACGGAGGGGTCCCATCCAGAAGCAGCCACAGCTTTGATCCATCAGCCCGACCGCTGAGGAAGGGACGCTCTCCACATACAGACATGAAAATCCCCCAGCTTTTGGCCAAATTTGCCATTTAGAATCCAGAATGGGTCGCCTACGTGATTCGTGATGATCCGATGAGAAAATATTTGTGGGGGTGTACAGCGAGGCCGGCTTTTACAGTTTTAACAGTTTCAATATTATCCACTGGGTGAAATATCCAAGAGGAGTTTTAAGACGCCACCAACAGTTATAAATAAATAAATGTATCCGTCAGAAGCGATGACGCGCGACCCGCACAAGCTCGTCTCGTCTGGAGGTCTCTGTGCTGACCTCCAGACGGCTCTTCCCTGCTCTTTCGATCCGAGTCCAAACTTCAGCCCGTCGGATCGGATTCCAATCGATTAATAATTTGAGCGTGATGAGTCTTGCTTGGACAGAGAGAGAGAGAGAGAGAGAGAGAGAAGCGCAATGTGAGGAGACGAGGACGCACCTCAGATGGAACGGTGGAAGCGTTGTCATTCATCCATGGTGGTGAAGAAATGTAGACCATGTTGCCTCTGGTGAGCTGGTCTTGGACTGAATGTCCGGAGGGTCATTTCGGTTTCTGACTTGGGGTCTTGTTGGGGCTCTGCTTCGCTGCTGCGGGTGGGGAGGACACAGAGGAGCTGAGAGCTCAGAACAGTGGTTTTGCTGCGTCAGCCTGTGGAAGTTCTGGCTGAACCCGATTCTGTTCAGGAACCAGGATGACGTGACCTGATAAATTCAACCTTGACCCCAAAATTCCACTACCTCCGCTCCGCCCCCGCCTTCCGCCCCCGCTCGCATCCGAACTCAATTTTTACTGGTACCCTCTCTACAACAGCTCCGCTCCGGTGCGGAGACCTGAGGTGCGCAAACAAGCATGCGCGGGATTTTCGAGATCTTGTGATACAGTCCGAGCAGTAAACGCGGAAGTTAGATCCAAACACCCGTTGTGTGGGAGAAGCATCGGCATGAGCTGTTTAATCTGCCCATCATTTGTGTTGAGAGATCAGCAGTGTTTGGATCAACAAAGTGGACTACTTTGATAGTGGAAACTGTATTTATGGCTTACTTTTGTGCATTTAAACTTCAGCCGCCATTGATAGTTGTTAAAAGTTGTTAAACCTGTGCATATGAAACAAAAAACGCCTTTTGTTTATCGATTTATTGTGAAAAACGGAAGTTGTGCTTGCTCCTTTTCCTGTTGGGCGGTTGTGATTTCTGTCCATTTACTGCGGAGGTGTTCCGGCGTCCGGCAAAAATAGGATCGATTCTATTTTTGCCGGATGGCGGAACGGCGGGCGACGCACTGCGTCGCACGGTCGCAGTAGTGGAACAGCTCTGATTGACTACAACGGGACCGATTTTGCTGCGGAGTTCGTGCCGGAGCGGAGGTAGTGGAATTTTGGGGTAAGAAAACTGGGAGGAACCTTTAGTCCACCTTTTGAGTTAGATGTTTTCTTCTTCTTTGCTTGTTTCTTAAAGACACGATGGATATAAGGAGATAATAACTCAACATGTGAAGGGGAGGTAGCTAGCATTAAAGGGCAAACTGCAGGTCCGACACTCCCATGAACCGATGTTTAGAGAAACATAATAGAAACTCGTTTGCCAAACCAAGTGACGTCAGCTGAGGGAGTCCTGTTAGCTTAATCCAGAGAAAAATATGGACTGTACAGCGGCTCTGACACAGAGGAACCTTTTAATGTTTATAATTCTACTTCTGATGGACCAGAACCATAAAGTGATGAGTTTGCTGCTCGCCCCAGAGAGCAGAGACCAACCAGAGGGAGAAACCATCGGCCAAAGCAGAGAGATAGAGGAGAAGCAGCGGGGGGGTGCAGCTTGTGAGTTAACCATGCTAGCTTAAACTTGTGTGCTAGCATCCCAGTATAGTACAGATTACTATCATGTACCAGACAGTTAAAGTACTATCGGTCAGTTAATATAATATTAATACTAATGAGCATCTGTCAGCAGTCTCATACTCGCTAATATCCATTCACCTAACCTAGTTTAGCTTAGAGAGATGCCTGTCTTCTGCTTCTGGAGCTCATGCGGGCTTCTGTGAGCTGGACCCGACCCAGAAACCAGCGAGCCAATAGAGCTGATAAGCTGTGCATGATCCTGTCCTGGAGTTCCGCAGTGGTTCTGACCTGGTTCTGACGGTGATCCGAGCTCCAGAAATCCACATTTAATTTTTTAAACCCCTCCACGGTAGAGGTGTGAACTTGTCCCCGATTCGATTACGATTATTGGGTCAACGGTTCAACTCGATATCCCGATGCATCACGATTATTTCATATTGATTTGTTTTAATCGATAAATAGAAGATGTCAGATAATTGCTTTTTATTTTTTTATCAAAAACGTAATCGACACAACCTGCCATCCCTCAAAAGCTCTGCATCCACAACAGGTTAGGACAAAACATTTAAGAAGATTTAACAAAGTAAAACATCTGTTTCCTCGTTCAGCACCACGCCTCAGGCTGAGAAAAACACGCTTTACAAAAACTCACAAAATCTAAAAAAGTACTGAAAACCTACAGGATACATAATGTAATAATAAAATACATAATGGGTTCATATATGAGTGTTAAATGTCTCTGAGCAGCTCTAGAGTCAGATATTTATGCCACAGTTGAAGTCTGTCAGAAATAACACCAAATGAAATGTTTGACTTAGTTTATTTTATTTGAACCCAGTGGTTCGTTTCTGAAATGTTGGAGAATGAATCAAGTTCTGTTTGATGCAGAAAATAATAAAACATAAAACAAATTCTACACTTCCAATAATATTTAAGATGTGTGTTTTATTCTTTCTGATAATAACACCAGCAGAAGGCTGTGGGCTGGATTAGGATTAAATTACCCAGCTGATGGATCTCCTTCACTTACCAGCTAACTAACCTTTCCACTAACCTGTCCTGTGGGACCCTCACCATGTGACCCTCATGTCCACGCTGTCTCTGGAGGAGCAGATAGGAGACAAGTCTCCTGTAACCTAAAATGAACCAAAGCTTCCTCCCAGTTTCTCTTTAAGCTGAATTTAACATCAGTTTATCTTCATGAAGCAAAAGAATAAAGTGGAACAAAAACTTCTATCTTCTATTTCTCTCTCCTTTTAACTTCTCCGTCTCCCTAAATAAAAGAGACAGACGATCACGCTGCAGCCGCCGTCTCTGACCCCGCCCCCTCCCCAAGACCGGATCTCCCGACATCACAGCACTCGGTCTGACTGAGCGCTTCCAGGAGAAACAATAATGAAATTATGAAAATAATAACGCGTGTTTGGAGGAGCGTCCTCCAAACACGCGTCCGTCTGCAGAAGTCCGTCTTTTCAGCTGCACAAAACAATTTCAGAGGCTCATTTCACACACCAGGGCTCCTGTAGCTGAATCTGATGTGTTTTCACCTCTGTTGGTGTTTTATTTTGGTGCCTGGAGCCCAGATCAGGAAACACCCGTCTGAGATGCCGTGGTGTTTCTGGACCTTCATACTTTACCTGTAATCATTAAATCTGGATCATCTGACGATATTGTTGAGGAACACTGTTCCTCTGACATTATTTCGGCGTGTGAGCCTGGTTCTGGACCGTTTCTGAATAAACTGTGTTTGCCTCCTCTCAGGTGATAGAGTACAATCCATCCCAGTGTCTGGACTGGCTGGCAGTCCAGACTCCCAGGAACAAACTGGCTCACAGCTGGGTTCTACAGAACATGGAGAACTGGGTGGAACGCTTCCTGCTGGCTCACAACTACCCCCGAGTTCGCACATGTGAGAAGAACCGCCTCACAGCCACGGCTCTCACCACTCTAAGGATGGGGGTTTGGTTTTGAAGCATAGACACAGAACACACACCTTAAACTGGTATCAGTGGTCTCCAGCCTGCTGAGGTTGTGAGGTTACCATGGTTATATTTGTGAAGATGACATGAGTGACTCCAGTAGCACCCAACAGTATATTCTCAGCTGCAGAGGAGTTCTGACTCCTTCTACATCTTTTGTGCCTTCATTTAACTTCTTTACTCGGCTCTTTTTTAACACACAAAAGTCGTTTTACCTTTTATGACCTTTTGACCGCAGTCAGAGCTATCCGCTGTTGGCGGCGACACTTGGATTTAGGAAGCCGTAGAAATAAGGAGACGATGGGGTCAGCACATGGGACTGTCATCGGTGATGTGAGAGCGCGGATTAACGGGAGAAGGAAGTGACGCCGCCAGCAGCGGCTAGCTCTGAAGACGACGGGTCGGGAACCAGTGACCTGTCATAGCTGGAGCAAAAGCACAGGAAGCATGAACCCTAGCAGCTGTTCGTGTTGTCTCAGTTCAGTCCAGCGTGAAGTCCGGACTCTGAAGCACCGTGTGAGCAGGACAATCTGGACATGAATGCTGTTGGGGCTAGTTGGTCTGTAAAGTCTCAGCCCAGTCACTTGCTGGGTTTAGCTCGTCGGCCCTCCTAAATGATCACAAACTACAAGTTGAATCTGATCAGTCATCGATCTGAATCTCTTCTTTCCAGCTGCGGCGTACCTCCTGGTCTCCCTCATCCCCAGCAACTCCTTCCGGCAGATGTTTCGCTCCACGCGTTCTCTCCACCTGCCAACCCGCGAGCTGCCGTTGTCTCCCGACACCACCGTGGTCCTCCATCAGGTCTACAACCTGCTGCTGGGGCTGCTGGGCCGTGCCAAGCTGTATGTGGACGCCAGCGTTCATGGTACCACCAAACTGGTGCAGTACTTCAGCTTCATGACCTACTGCCTCATCTCCAAGACGGAGAAGCTCATGTTCTCTGGGTACTTCATGGACCTCTGGAACCTCTTCCAGGTGCTGTCTTGTTGTTTTGTATGATTTGTAGATGAGATCCTTGAACATCTTGACCCAGTTGCAGTGTTTGCCAAAGCGTTTGAGCTGAGTTTTCCCGTTAAACCCGGCCTTAACTGAATTCAGTTGTAAATGTTAAGATGGCTTTCCACGGTTTCGTCTCCTGTACTGCGATGTTTGCGGCGTCAACGCATCAGAAGAGCTGAGATCAATGTTCCACCGTTGTTTTCAGCCCAAACTGTCAGAACCGGCCATCGCCACCAACCATAACAAGCAGGCATTGCTGTCCTTCTGGTACAACGTGTGCATGGATTGTCCCGAAAACGTCCGGCTGGTGGTGCAGAACCCTGTGGTGACCAAGAACATCGCTTTTAACTACATCCTGGCTGATCACGATGACCAGGAGGTGGTGCTGTTCAACCGCGGCATGCTGCCAGCGTATTACGGCATTCTGCGAATGTGCTGCGAGCAGTCGCCCGTCTTCACCCGCCAGCTGGCTTCGCACCAGAACATCCAGTGGGCCTTCAAGAACCTGACACCACATGCCAGCCAGTACCCAGGGGTGAGGGCCACTTCTAGTACCTCCGTGCTCTTTAGCAATATTCTGACAAGCTTCTTAAATTTGTAGAAACCGTTTTGTTTCTGAGTTGAGAGGAAGCGGAGATAAACCCGTGTCTCATTGTTCTGAGTGTGGCGCCCCCTGCAGGCGGTGGAGGAGCTCTTCAACCTGATGCAGCTGTTTGTGGCGCGAGCCGACATGAGAGAGGAGGAGCTGGAGGACATCAAACAGTTCAAGAAGACCACCATCAGCTGCTACCTTCGATGCCTGGACGGACGCTCCTGCTGGACCACGCTCATCAGGTCAACACACACACACACACACACACACACACACACACACACACACACACACACACACACACACACACACACACACAGGTTTAAATATTTCCTCATCAAATTAATTCAGTTAGAAGTTTCTGAGTCCGGCTCCTGTCTGCTGGTCCCCACAGTGCCTTCAGAATTCTGCTGGAGAACGACGAGGACCGACTCCTGGTGGTGTTTAACCGAGGGCTCATCCTCATGACCGAGGTATGTTCCGGACCACGCAGCCTCCACATGAGAGCTGACCAGAGCTGCGCTAGGTCTCGCATCTTTGTTTGAACTTTAGCGTCTGTCTCTCGCTTCAGTCCTTCAACACTCTGCACATGATGTACCACGAGGCCACGGCGTGCCACGTCACCGGAGACTTGGTGGAGCTACTTTCCATCTTCCTGTCAGTCCTCAAAGCCACGCGGCCCTACCTTCAGCGCAAAGGTCAGACCTTCTCACTGCTAACAAGCTCAGCAGCTTCAAACAGAACGCTGTTTGGTAGATTTGACGGATCAAACCGGCTGGAACACGTTCCGCTAGCGAGCGATCTCGTCTACACGCCGGCTGGATTAGCTGTGTAGTTGTTTTGGTAAATGGTCTGTAGTTCTATAGCAGCTTCTAGAGTCCAGAACCCCCCAAGGTGCTTTACAAATAGCCAGTCATTCACACACTGGTGGTGATGAGCTGCCCTGGGACACACTAAGCTAGGTGGGGCTGCACCGAGAGCATGGACCACTGGAATGTTGTTCTCATCCAGGTGATGGCACACAAGGCTGGAGGGCAGCAGAGCCCCCAGCAGCTACTAACCAGAATCAGTATCTTCATGATCAGACCTAGGGATGTAGACTTTACTGCTTTGGATCATCTAAAGCCGGGATCACACTGCGGGTTTTGACCGTCTTTGCCAAGCCCCTCGTCCTGAGCAGAATGGTGACAAAAAACAGTCAACGTCAGGGTGATTTGCATATCTGTGCACCATGCTGTGAACATGCAGTGTGACCGGCTCTGCGACAGCTTTTTGAGCCGTCTCACAACCAAATCAGCCTCAACTCAGCCTACAACTCCTGTCTGCAATCGACCAATGAAAACACACCTCTGGGACCCCGCAGTAGCATGACTCCGCCTCTCTGAGCTTCGGTTTCAATTTATGTTTAAAATGCAGATTATAAACTACACCCAGGTTACTATTTCTGTTAATATCCCAAGTTAAACCAGAGTTATACTAAAACAATTAAATTACATATTTTTAGACCATCAGATAAATTGTGAAAACTGCGATTCTGCGATCAGTGAGAGGAGATGAGCTCACGAACATCAAAATGAAAACACAAAAATAAGAGATTAAATCTCACATGTTCAGCCGATAAGGACGGTTCAGCAGCGTTTATCCGCAGAGGGACAGAGGAAGCGGCGCTCCGTGGCGGCGGCTGTGATGAGCTCACAGATGGGAGCTGCGGAGCAGTGAGACAGAAGTCACAGTAAAAGTTTTAAGTTTCGCAGCCGTCTGTGACGGATTGTTGCTTCTCTGTAGTTTAGTGGGTTCTTGTGTATCATCATCATCATCACCTTTATTTATAAAAGCACCTTATCATGTCACCAAGGTGCTGCACAAGACTAAACTAAAAAGATAAAAACAAAGAATATACAGGAACCCAATAAAAAAATTAACTCATTCGCTGCCAGCGTTTCTCACCGTTTTTGCTGTTTTTTTAAGAGTCACAGAACGTTGCGCGCTAGCATGATGTCGACGCCAAAACAACCAAAACAAAGAGGAGACTCACCTCTGACATCAGGAAGAAGCCGGGTGTTTCAAGCGTTATCCGTTTTTTCATAATCCGTTGTTGAATTGTGATCAGCAGACGCTTTTCTGGTTCGCGCCTCACTTTTTTTACAGGAACGTCCCAAAACGATCTCCTAACACATGGATGTGTTGCTTCCTGATCACGTGACGTGTGACGTATGCGGATGAAGATCGGCTTCAGGGCTGAGATGTTTGTTCTCTCAGCGCGGGGGCTCGCTCCGATGCTCAAACAGTAAAAAAATGCAAATGACGACTTTAGTTGTCAATGGCATGGGGGGTGGGGTCTTGAGTGACATCACACGTCCCACATCAAAGGGTCTACAGAACAACATGTTGGGTCTGTGTGGAACAGAAACCTGAGGAACCTGACAAGAGAAATGATTGTCCCTCTGATCAGATGTGAAGCAGGCGCTGGTCCAGTGGCAGGAGAGGATCGACTTTGCACACAAGCTGCTGACGCTCCTCAACTCCTACAGCCCGCCCGAGCTGCGGAGCGCCTGCCTGGGTAACGCTCATCGACACCATCTTTAGCTCCTGTTAGAAGTCCCGCGTTTACAGTCCTTGTGTTTCTGTTCCAGATGTGCTGAAGGAGCTGGTGCTACTGAGTCCACATGACTTCCTGCACACCCTCGTACCGTTCCTGCAGCACAACCACTGCACTTACCACCACAGCAACATCCCCAGTGAGTCTCCTTGAGCCTGGACCCTCCAGCTGAAGTCGTGTGGGGTTCATTTAACACCGTCTGATGAATGAACTGCACTCTTTTTATCTTACAAGTGGATCTTTGAGAGACTAGCCCTTTTTACAAGTGCTGGCAAGTCATTGTAGTATCACTGGAACGGTGTGTCTTATAAACGCGCCATGCCGGCATGGCCGTGCACCAAATTTGCGGCGTTCATTCTGCCTTGCTTGGTAGTAATGTTGCAGTAATTGTCTGTCTTAGAGATGGAGATCCCGCCTTGGCGCAACAGAGGGAGGTGTCATGATGATGTGGGCAGTTCCCGCCGAGCTCCAGTCGCCAAATATATTGAAAATGAACGTAAACCCAGGCAATAATGGCGCTTACACGTTAGCTTTGGCGCGGTCGGGGTTTAGTCGGGCTGATGGCGTGAGTTTGGTCACTAACGGGTGGTGTTGTGTCCACACATAAATCTGAGGGAAGCCGCAGGAATGCAGAAATTCCTGAGCCCGTGGGCGGAGTTTAATGCGCGAGAAAGTCTGTGGTGTCCTCCATGATGTGGTAAACGAAGGCGGGCGTGAGCTGTGTTGCTTTTGGGACTCGGCACCACATAATTTTATTAATTAGCTGTCCTCATAATCTTGTGCAACACACACACACACACACACACACACACACACACGGCTTTCTTCCCTGAGCAGCTGTCTGCTTGCCGGGGCAAGAGCTCCGATGCAGAGGACAGACGCACACACACACACACACACACACACTGCTCTCTCTCTTCTCCCTTTCCCGCTGAGCGGCCGCTCCGTGTTGCAGACAGATAGGGTTGGGCATCGATTGGAACCGGTTCCAACTGTTCATTTTTACCGGCATCGCTCAACGTTTTTCATTTCGATTCCTAGAATGCTGACCTGAGGAGGAATCCGCGGCCGATCTCCGTGAGAAATAAACGTGATCTGCAAATTGTGATCAACGCTTTTCAGAGCTGATCACACCAGCTGTCAGTGAGCAGCACGAGTCCCCCCTCCCCCACCCAGATATAAACAAACACGTCTGCCGAACTTTTACTCCGTGATGTAAACGTTAACTCCCGCAGCGTAGAGGAAACGTGTTAAACACGTCAACACGGTGGATTTAATAGAAGCTTTAAAGAACAAACTCTGGACGTGTGAGGTGAGTTTGTCTCACTGCAGAAATAACAACGCACACGGAGCGTCAGCAGTCACACGCAGCAAGCTTCAAGTTTCACTTCCTGTTGTGACTGAAGCTGCTGCAGCATGGAGGTGTAGTTCTCAGGTGTCCTGGACATGATCATCCTGAGAGTTTCAGCTGAAAACAGCTGGACGTTTCTGGATGTGTTGGAGACATTTAGCCTCTCATCCCAGAGGCTGCTTCCACACTTTGGTTGTGGTCAGAAACAAACACACTGGTTGTGCTGCAAGTCGTCTTCTTTTGTCTCCAAAACATGTTTGTGTCTAAATGAAGGTGATGTTGTTGTTCATAGAGTTAAAATTCATGTTGAAGTTAAGATTATTTCATCATGTAGGACCTGTGGTTAGCTGGCTCGTGTAAAACATGTCGTGTCTTCAAAGAATCAGAGTCAGGAATTGATAGGAACCGGAATCAAAACGAGGAATTGGAATCGTTCAAAATCAAACGATGCCCAACCCTACAGACAGAAGTTTACTCAACAGCATCCAGCTGGCATGTGGGAACCCCCCCCCCCCACTGGTTCACTCTTCTCGGAGATCGGAGGCATTATTTCAGCCGGCCAATCAGTCCGTAGCGCCGCCTTGGTCCCAGTCGGACCGCTGGGGATGGGGTCTGAAAAAGTCGCCTCAGAGCTGAAAACGCAAATCTGACCTGTGTGAAACCAAAATCTGGGACCGAACCCACGCTAATGTGGAAGCGCCATAAGTTTTGCTTAATGAACCAAATCAGCTGAGATGGCTAAATGGAGCACTGCAGCGATCCTGGAGTTAGCGCTGGTGGTCAGATCACCAGAGACTGCATGAGGACTGTGGGGTGGGGGTAGAACTCCTTCTCCGGGTCAGGGATGAGGTCCTGTCCCAAGTGGAGGAGTTTAAGTATCTCGGGGTCTTGTTCACGAGTGAGGGAAAACTGGAGCGTGAGATCGATAGGCGGATTGGTGCTGCATCTGCAGTGATGCGGGCGTTGTACCGGTCTGTCGTGGTGAAGAGAGAGCTGAGTCAGAAGCTCTCGATTTACCGGTGGATCTACCCTCACCTACGGTCACGAGCTTTGGGTAGTGACCGAAAGAACGAGATCGCGGATACAAGCGGCCGAAATGAGTTTCCTCCTCACAAAAAGACACGCGTCTTAGAGAAAACAAAATATTTGGGCCACATTATCACGGATCATCTCTGTGATGATGACATTTACCAGCAGTGCCCAGGCTAAGTTTCACATGTGTTCAGTGTGAAAATCCTCTTCAGAACTTAATGTACACCTCTGTGGTGTAATACAAGAGCTAGCATGCAGAAGCTTAAGGCAGCATGTGATGATGCATCGAGGACTCTGCTCAGGAAGCCCAGGTCCAGCAGTGCCAGTCTTTAGTAATGCTCATGTCGGCGCCTTTCCAGCTCCGAGGAAACTGATGCACAGATTAATTCTGCATCTGAGGAGTGCTGAGAATGACTCGTCCTGATGTTGGTGGGTCCTGGTGCAGTCAGGGTATCCGCAGATCCTTAAAAAGTCTTAAATTTGCTTTTCCAAATTTAAGGCCTTAAAAATCCTTAAAAATGACAAATAATCCTTAAAACCAGTTTCCAAAGGTCTTAAATGACCAAAGACCCAATAAACTAGATTCTTTTATTTCTATAAAAATTTAGTGAGTTTCTAGTTCGTGTTCAGGATTTTTTTTTTGTACGATGTTGACGTAAGCGGAACCGTACACATTCAGGTGGTTGTGAAAGGGGGCTATTTTTAGATGAGCACATTAGCTGGTTAAGCTAGTGGGAGCTTGCGCCATGGGGAAGTTTAATGGTAACTGGATGGCTAATCCCACGTTTGCAACGTGGTTAGCACCGGTTCCAGGCAATAGCTGGAAATTATAGCTTAAATATATTTTTAAAAATGGCTTAAATTTGGTCAAAGTGGCCTTACAAAGGTCTTAAAAAGTCTTCAATTCGGCACCCATAAACCTGCAGATACCCTGGTGCAGTGTTACCAGTCATCCATGTGGAGACGCTGGTATGGGTGTCTTTTATAATGCCTGCTCTTTATGTGTGTATTCTTATCTCTTATATTTTGGACCATTGTGTCTGTTAATAAGTTTATATAGTGATACAGTCATACTCAGGAGCCCCCTCTGTGGCCCCGGGGGACTGCCGCGCTGCTCCTGTGTGTCCCTCTTACTTTAACGGCACCCCCCCACCCCCCAGAACCGGACCCTTCCATCTGTTACGGTAGGATCCGTGCACGCACAAGCGCAGTGGGCGAGCGTTGTTACACTTGTTCGTCTGGTAGTGGCGGACTCTTCTGCAAGCCCGCGTCCTGTGGTGAAGCAGGACTGTGGGGCCGGGCGGACGCGGCGGTCGATGTGAAACTGGAGGTAAAAGTGCGTCACATAACTGACGTATGAAAATTCCAGCGATCCCAATAAACGGTACGGATGTGTGGTTTTGATGAAGCACAGCGCCAGTTGTCACATGAGGGCGGAGCGAGATGGAACGATAACCGGATTCGCCTGACGGCCTGTTCAGGTCGTGTCGTTTTGGTGATTTAACCCAAAAAGCACCCGTGTGTAACTTCAGGCTGAAGATCTTCACAGGGTATCCGCGAGTCCTTAAAAAGTCTTAAAAAGTCTTAAATTTGCTTTTCCAAAATTAAGGCCTTGAAAATCCTTAAAAATGACAAATAATCCTTAAATACAGTTTCCAAAGGTCTTAAATTACCAACGACCCAATAAACTAGATTAGTTTATTTCTATGACATTTTTGTGAATTTCTAGTTAGCGTTCAGCATTTTTTGTGTACGATGTTGGCGTAAGCGGAACCGTACACATTCAGTTGGTTGTGAAAGGGGACTATTTTTAGATGAGCACATTAGCTGGTTAAGCTAGTGGGAGCTTGCGCCATGGAGAGGTGCAAGTTTAATGGTAACTGGATGGCTAATCCCACGTTCACGACGTGGTTAGGACCGATTCCAGGCAATAGCTGGAAATTATAGCTTGAATTTTAAAAAAAGCTTAAATTTGGTCAAATTGGCCTTAAAAAAGGTCTTAAAAAGTCTTAAATTTGGCTCCCTTAAACCTGCAGATACCCTGTCTTCAGTGAATCCCTAATCTTACTCCGGTTATAGTTAACTTTGCTGGAAGCATCAGCGCTGGACTGCTCTCTAGACTCTCTTCAGTGATCGTCGTGTGTCCACAGTGTCGTTTGGCCCCTACCTGCCGTGCAGAGAGAACATCAAACTGATGGGAGCAAAAAACAACATCCGACCCCCGAGACCGGAGCTGAACATGTGTCTGCTGCCCTCTCTGGTGGAGAGCAGTAAGGTAACCCTAGCCATGAGGCCTCGCCCGTCTCCTTCAGCAGCTCTTCACCCGTAAACCTGTCATGTGCGTCTGTCTCTCAGGGAAAAGATGACATCTACGACCGCGTGCTGCTGGACTACTTCCTGCCCTACCATCAGTTCATTCACCTGCTGTGTCGCGTCGCCATCAACTGCGAGAAGTTTACTGATGCACTCATTAAACTGAGTATGTGTGCGTGGAGCAGAAGTCCTCGATAACGCCTGCAGATTTTCCCACGTTCACTTTGTTTTCCTTCCCAGGTGTGCTGATCGCTTATGAAGGACTTCCTCTTCACCTGGCGCTTTTCCCTAAGCTGTGGACGGACCTCTGCCAGTCGCAGGTACGGCGTTTTGCCTTTCAGCTTCTCTCTGACCTGGAGAGATCAAATCCAAACTTCTCTGGTTTGGGAGAACATCTCAGTACGTTTAGATGCAACAGAACAGAATAAAAAGTTCTGATTGGGACAGATGGGAAGTAGGACAGCGTAGCCTCAATAACGAGCATCAGAGGAAAGCAAGACTTGCGTTTGTAGCTGAGCGTCTAGAGCAGGGCTGGGCAAACGCTTCGACCTGTTGGGATCCGTCAACTTCGGCTTTGTTGATGAACCTCTACTCACGCGTAGCGCCGGCATCATCTCTGGCGCCCTATGCAGGTTTGTAAGCGTAGCTTCGTTAACTGAAGCAAAAAGGTGTTTCAGTTTAGAAGAGTTAAACGCGTCCTTCAAGACAGAGTCACGCCCCGAACACATCAGACGCAGAAGCCATGCGCCGCAAAGCGCTGTGGGACGGCGAGCGCGTCTCGTCGGCGCCCTTGTTAACCTACGCTTTCGGTCACATCAGCGGCGAAGAGCCACGAAGGCTCACGGCGCGCGGCGATCATTCCGGCGTGAGCTCTTTGTCTTCGTGAGCCGCGTCGACTCTGGCAGGAAGTCAAATCAACGCAGAAGAGGCAGGCTGGTGAATTTAACAAAATAAAAGAACTGTTCTAAAATAAAATACCTCCATTGATAAATGTGATCATTTTTGTGTATCTAAACAGACTAGAGATGAAAATGAACACACACACACACTCCCGCACAGAAACTGCGATTCCATCATTTTTAATGCAGTTTTTACAACAAAAGATGGATTTAATAAATGTGAATACAAACAAATACGTGTAATTCCAAGGTACACTAGCATTGTACATTACCACAAACAGTTACTTACTTAACCGTGTGGAACAGAACTGGTCTACAAAGCAGCAGCAGGAGCGCAGTTTCTGATTTCAGCAAGCAGGGAAAACTGGCCTCACACACACACACACACACACACACACACACACACACAGCAAGGGCACAGGGGTCGGGTGGGGATTAGAAAACAACAGGCATGAGCAGAAACACTCGTTGAAAATTCTCGCCTGATGTGAACTAGGGGTTGTAAGAACAAGTCACTAGTCGACTTCACGGCTCTGTAGTGACTTTTTATGCCTGTCATCGACTAGTCGCTGTCACGTGATAATGACCGACAAGATGCAGTCCTCGGAAAAGACAGCAGCCTGATGTCAGCAGGTGACGAGCCCCTGCGCGTCGGGAGGCGACGCGCTGTGCCAGAGCGTCGGTACTGACACCCGCCGTAAAACGGACATTTAACCAAATTGTGACCTTTACCCTCTTGCAATTTAACCTTCCCCTCACCCCCATCCTAACCTTAACCAGCTTGCACATGCAAAGCTCTGATTGTTGACGCGCTCCAGACATCTGTGTCCTGAGCACGGCCACAGTAACATTATCAAATCAGGTGTCGCCACGTCAAAAACTAATTTAACACGCGATCGTTCATGTCGGCTCATTTCCTTTTACGTTTTCTGTCTTTTATTTGTGCCTGATGCGTTTCGCTGCTGTGGAGCGGGGCGCATCACCTGTTTTGTCCTCGGTGACGCACCTAACTGATGCGGCCGGCGAGCACTCCGTTGTTTTTGCGGTCGGTAGATCTTTTAGAACTGCAGTTCAAAGGTAACTCATACGGTGAATATATATGAACCCAGGTAGCAGGCCGCTGCACAGGGGGAGGGGGGAGAGGGCTGAAGCAGGGGGAGGGGGGAGAGGGCTGAAGCAGGGGGAGGGGGGAGAGGGCAGAAGCAGAAACTACCATTGTTAAAAGAAATGTGTTTAACTTTGAAAATGTGGGCGCAACTTTAATTGTCCAAAACTCCAGCGACCCCCCCCGCGCGCCGCTTCAGGTGTATGACGTCATCAACGACTAGTCAATGTCGACTTGATTTTCATTACTTGACTGTCGACTTTAAAACATATTAAGTCGTGCAACCCCTAGTGTGAACAGAGGAGGAGCGGACAGCGCATGAATTTCGTGAGCGCTCCACTTGGCGGTGCTTCCCAGCTGGTGTGCTCCGGGCGTCTGACTGATTATCCTGTGCAGATATCTCAGGGGACAGGACGCCCACTGAGGTGACTTGTCAAATGTTAAAATGATAGAACCGACAGAGTTCTCCATTAAGTTGTTTGGTGATTTGCTCCATTTCCTCACTTCGTCAAGAGGTGGTGG